CAGCTGCCTCCCCTGCAAGCTTAGAGGAAGCGAGTCCGATACTCTGTGCGCAGGCTTTTTAAGAGGAGTTGCCTGGGGCTCCAGCTGCCTCAGCCTCCCTGAGCCTCAGTTCCTGCTGGTTTTTCCAGCCAGTAGTTATGGGGACTTCTCTTCCTGGCACTGGAACCCTGAGCAGGGTACCTGGTGTGGGATGGGAACCCTCAGTCCTCAGGGAGGACCTTCCCAGCCAAGGTGTCCTGATTTTTATCCACCACACGAGGGTGTGGGACCCGCCCCTCGCGCCTCCGCCCCTCGCGCCTCCGCCCCTCCCCTCCTACCAGTCTGGATGTGGCTGCTGCTTTAATTCCATAGTTGTAGGACTTCCATTCAGTTCGATTTCAGGCGGTTTTGAATAATGGTTGTTCTGCAGTTTACTTTGATGTGGTTGTGGAAAGATGCGATACTGCATTTACCTACGCCCAAAGCTTTATAATATATAATAAAACTATCATCTATTGTTCTTTTGGGGAGCTTTCCTAACAATTTTTTTTTTTTTTACATAACCTTTAGTATCAGCTTGGCATATGTGTGTGTGTGTCCATGCGCACACACATGTATACAAAGAGAAATTACATGCTACAAATTTGAGAAAAATCAGTACCTTTTATTTTCCTATCCAAGAAAATGATTTATTTTTCCATTTGTCCAAGTCCTTTTCACTTCATTAGTATTATAAAATTTTGTTCATATATTTTCTGTATTTGTCATTTAGTCTTAATTAGTATTGAAATTTTTTTCTATTTTAAATGGTCTCTTTATCCATTTTACACTTTAATGATTGTGGGTCATTTACATGCCATCTACTAATGATTTCTGCATATTAAGTTTTCTATTCTAGTGCCTTACTAAATCATCTCATTTTTGTAGTAGTTTCTCAATTGATTCTCTTAGGTTTCCCATGTATACAATTATATCATCTGCCAATAACAATAATTCTTATACCTCAATTTTTTTTTAATCTAATGTATTCTCTGGGTCCCAGAATATAAATTCTGTAAGTTCAGAGATTTTTGTTACTTCATTAAGTGTTTTGTCTCCAGAACCTGAAATACTGCTTGGCACAGAGCATATGCTCAACTAAATATGTGAAGTAATAAAATGAACTGCATAGACTAGCAGCTCCAACACAGTGCTTAGTAACAGTACAAATAGTGGGCATCCTTGTCTTCTTGTCCCTGACTTTAATGGGAATGTATATTTCCCCATTAAACTTGATGCTGGCGCCCAACTGGTGTGGCTCAGTGGACTGAGTATTGTCCCATGGACTGAGAGGTCCAGGTTCAATTCCCAGTCAGGGCACATGGCTGGGTTTCAGGCTCAATACCCAGTAGTGGAGCATGCAGGGGCAGCCAATTATGTTCCTCTCTCACATGGATGCCCCCCCCCTCTAAAAATCAATCAATCAATCAATCAATCAATCAATATAAAAACATGAACCTGATGTTGGCTTTTTGGGTTAATGCAAATGTATTATTATTTCATGTTAAATAAATATCTATTTCCATTATGTTGAGCATTTTTATCTGAAATGGTGTTGAATTTTAGCAAATGTGCCACTTTTATAAAGACAGTAAAATTATTATTTTTTCTTTTTTTTATTCTCACCCGAGGACACTTTTTGTTCAGATAGAGTAGGAGAGAGAGAGAGAGAGAGAGAAACATCAATGTGAAAGGGACACATCGAGTGGCTGCCACCCGCACGACCAACCAGGGCCGGGGACAAACTGCAACCAAGGTACATGCCCTTAGCGGGAACCGAACCCGGGTCTCTCGGGACCACAGGCTGATGCTCTAACCGCTGAGCCAAACCGGCCAGGGCAGTAAAATTATTTTTCAAAAACTCTTTACACGTTTAAAAGGATTTAAACATTTTAATTCAACAAGTGAAATACAGAAAATCAACAGCTATAAAACCATGGAGATGGTAATTTAAACAATAACAGAAAAGTGCTTTAAGTTATGCTATTTAAATGTTACAATTTAAATTTCATTCATTACATTGGTATAATACCTCATCTCAGTATCTACAATTTTGACAAATGCTTGAAAAGATTTTTGTTCAGAAACAGTTGCTGGTCTGACAGACACACATTTGAAAATATTCTTTTTCTGGTCATAGTTTCCAACACACCTATGAACTCGGCCTCTAATCAGTCTTGGAAGTTCACGATCCTGTTTTTAAAAAGATAAATATCAATAAAGTCATTTACTAGTTCATCTAAATTTCAACTTTTTGAAACTAATTATATGATCAACTAAATATAAATCACCCTAAAATACTCTAACTCTTTTACCTGATTTAGGGCCCCACTGCTGACAAGACCATGAAAGGTAGACGTATATGACTGCCCTGTCACAGAGGAAAAACCTTCACTTGGGTAGGGCTTCTTACAAGCTAGCAAGCTGCTGCTCCTTAAAAGATTAACTAATTCTCAATGTAATGGCACATGAATTATTCACTTCTATAAGACAGCCAGAGTTCTACTTTCAGTAGATGGCAGAAAGGTAGTTCACACCAACTCTCCAACTAAGAACAACTAGAATAGCTGGATAAAATATTTAAAAGTCTCTTTGCAGATTTCAGAGAGGTTCTAAGGTAATGAGGAATTATAGAACCCCATCTGGGAAAGGGTAGGAGTCAGAAGGGGGCCTGATATTTGAGGATGCTTTCCCCTTGAAGTATCTGTCAATTATAGTCAAGGCAGTTGAGAGTCTAACTGAGCAGAGCTTTCATCAGACTTATAAGGCTAGGAGGAAAGAAAAAATAGAATCAGAGGCTCTTAAGGGAAAGAGATTCTGGTAACCAACCCCACCCCAGGCTTAGGGCTATGCCTTAATGGAACCAGTAAACTGGAAAAAGATCAGCCAGCATCAAACCCTCTCAATCATGAGTAAAGCTGAACTATTCTGGGATTATTTTCACTAAATGGGTCATAAAAAGCATTAACTATAAAAGAAGATACTGATTATTGCTAAAAGAACTATATTAAAGTGAACAATTTCTGTTCCTCAAAAGCCACCATTAAAACTCAAAAAACAAACATGAAGTATGAGAAAGTATTTGTAATATACATAATGGAATAAGAACTTATACCCTGAATAGTTTTTTTAAAACCCTCTTATAAATCAATAACAAGAAAACAAATAATTCAATAGAAAAAAAAATAACCATAAGGTCTAACAGACTTTACAAAAGAAGTTATCTAAACAGCCAGTAAGCATTAAAGTGCTCAACCTCATTAGTCACCAGGGAACTGTAGAGAAATGAGATAGAACTAAACACCCACTAGAAGGGCTAAAATAAAAAATACTGATGTACTAAGTGTTTATAAGAATGCAAAGAAACTACATTCATCTACACTGATTGTGAGTATGTAAACTGATAAAAACCCTTTGGAAAATTCTTTAGCAATAAGTACTGTATTAAAAAATACACATATACTATAATGCAGCAATTTTACTGCTAGGTATATACCCAACAGAAATGCATGCATATACACAAGAGACACATACAAAAATGTTCATAAAGCATTATTGATAATAGCAAAAAAACTGGAAATAATCCAGATGCCCATCAACAGTAGGATAGAAAACTAAACTATGGTATATTCAGACAACAGAATATTTTACATAGAAATATAAATAAATGAATTATAGCTATATGCAAAATAGATGAATCTTATAAACACTGTGTTGAAAGAAATCACACATAAAAGATAACATACCATATGATACTATTTATAAAAAGTTTTAAAACAGGAAGAATTAATTTATGATATTAAAAGTCAGGATAGTGGTTACTTTTAGATAGGAGACGGGAGGCAGTGAATGGGAGAGGCACAAGGATACATGGAGTTACAGCAATGTTCTATTTCTTAATCTTGGTAATGTTCATTTTGTGATATTTCACAGCACTGTACAGTTATAAATTGTGCACTTTGCTGTATAATGTTTTAAAAAGTCATACATAATATACTAGAAAAAATAAGCATTCAAGATATTTTAGAAATTAATAACTTGACAATTACTATTTCTTGATCTACTATGTGTCAGACACTGTACATTATGTTTTATCATCTAATCTCCAAAACAACCTTTCAAAGTAAGAATTAGTCTCTCCATTTTACAGATAAAACAACTGAAGCTCAGAAAGTTTAAGTAGCTTACTCAAGGTCATAAAGCTAGTAAATGGTGGAATAAAAACTAGAATCCATGCCTGATTTCAGAATTATAGCAATTTCAGAATTAATGTCAAACTCTTTCACAAAGTATTTGAGTCTTATAAGGTCTCCAGACTTTCTTGTAATTTCCAGCCTCTGTTGTCACCCCAGCCTTCCTTACCACCAAGCTTCTTCCTTATATCTCACCCTATTCTTTCACCCAACTTCAGAACTACTACCCTTACTCCCATCACTAACTAACTTTACACTCCAGTAATTATAAACTATTTGCAGTTTCCTTATACAATCCAGGCTCTCAGTTTCCTGTCTTTGAATACATGCTGCTCTCTTAATTTAGTATGCATTCCTCCCTACTTCTTCCCCTTCCACACACACATACTTTGGTTTATTAGTCCTTAAGTATCTTAAAAGGGGTTACTACATTCTTCAAATCTTTCCCTGATCTTCCTATCTACTTCTATAGTACCCTGCACCACTTATCATACCACTTATCATACCACAATGTAACACTTATGTAACTGTCTTTCTACCTGAGATTATAAACTTTGAGAGAGCCATCTACACTTATATTCCAATTGTATCTGTTACTAGCACAGCCCCAGGCACATAGTAGGCTCTCCATATTAGTTGAACAAATAACTTTAATATCAGAACTAAAACCAAACAAAATGTTGAAAGTACTACTAAAGTGTTAACAGCATTTCTACTGGAATGGAATTGTACTCTGCATTTGTGTTTTGTTGGCATAGCTTTGCAAAGAATATTTAGACAAATACTCACTATTTCATAAAATACACAAGGCAGAGTATTTTTCCCATCTCTCATAAGAAAAGTCTTTGAATAATATGGTCCAGGTGTAACAGCTGAATCAAGAACACCTAAATAACATTAAAATGGGGGGAGGGGGAGTTGATCAGTGCTGGTAAAATGCAAATAAAATTTAACAAAGAAGAGGCTGATATTTAAATAAGTATTCCCACACCAGTTTCTCTCATAGTTTTATTTATACAATAATAAAGAAGACATTTAAAGAGGGAAAAATATATCTGAAACTGTTTTATACTAAGGGAAACAAAATTTCTGGCCTTCTCCAGCTTAGGAGCAGGTTATATGCCAAAGTTCATACAACTGACACTGGTTGGCCATCTGAACTGTTTTCTTAGAATGTATTCTATAGAGTGGTTAAATTCCCTGACCAGTCTACTACACTATAATAATGAAATACACACATATAACTGATGAGCATTGTGGTTTAATGAAAAAATAAACACTGAATTAGAATCAAAAGGCATGCATTTGAGTCCCAGTTCTTCAACTTACTAAACCAAGCAAACTGTTTAACCCTCTTTCAAATCTGTCTTATCTATAAAATGAAAATAATAATTCATGTTTATATCAAGAAATTATCATCAAATGAGAGCACTATTTATTCCTTTCATAACCACCTACTGAGTACTGACAGTGAACATTTGTTATTTTGAGGTCAGCCTCCACTTACCCTAATAATAACCAGATTTTCCTTTATAAAACCTCTCCTATACCAGTCTTAGCCACATAATTTGAAGGGAATTTGTCCCCATCCTCAGATGCAGGAGTGACCTGAGACTGACTTAAACCAATTAGTGTATCCCATTCCCCAGCTACTGAGTACAAGGTGGGTATAGGTGATGGACTTGTTACCAGTCACAAATAGATATACAAGGGGTCATTTGCTAGTCTCTGGAAAAGAGCAACCAAAAGAAACCATCGAAGAATGTGGTATAAGGATGGGTGGTATAGAGGACTTTGATGATCATCTTAATACCAAAAAGGAAGAGTCAAAAGCTACTGGAGAGGCCACAATTGGAGCTTCAGGATGAAGACAAAATTGTGGCAGGGCTGAAAATGGCTAAATCCCAAAAACATAATACTGGGTGAAAATGCAAAAAAGTAAGTAAAAGTCCACATAAATTTATGAAATCAGATGTATATAAAAAATTATAGAAGTACAGACAGGAAAGATACCACAGTGATTACCTCTAGGTAAGAAGAAAAATGGATGAGGGTTTCAAATCTATTACATGGGTATGTGGATATGATATTCTCTAATTTTTTCTGCATATTTAGAATATTTCATTATTTAATTTAAATTAGATATTTATTATACTTAATCTGTTGAAAGAAATATGTTCTGAATCGCTACTTTTACTTGTTTTTCTCTTCATTCTACGTAAAATGAAATTCCAGAAACATTCTATAAAACTCTCCCCCTTTTAAATATTAACTTAGAAAACAGATTAATTGTAGGGTGCTCATATCAGTAAAGGGTTCTTTCCAAATGTTCTTTCAGATTTGAAATATAATTTAATTTATATACAAAATTACTACTGGATTTAGTCAAATATAGTGGAAAAAACAGTAGATTGAGAATAAGAAACTTAGATTGTAGATCCATTTTTCCTAGCTTTGTGATTTTAGTCAAGTCTATTTTAATTATCTGCTCCATTTCCTCACATGTCTCAAGGGTTGAGTCAGATTAATTATAATAATTTTTTTCAGTTTTAATATTATGAATCAGAAGAATACTATCATAAATAACCAAGTACATCTTAAGTCACACAAATCAATGACAGGCCCAGGAACTGAAGAAAATCCTAATTAACTATAATCTGCATTTGCAAAATTTTATTTTTCTTTAAGATCTCCTAGGTATTCCTTTTGACATTGAAAGCTATTGTCCAAATAATATTCTTAAGTATTTTTGAAGTATTATACCTACCCAATATTTCAAAAAGAAGTATAGTTTTGGGGGCATGTTCACGCCAGTACTTCATGCTTTCAATAACTGCAGATATTATTCTTAAGGAATTATCTTTTCCCTTAAACTTTAACTGATATAATGAGGCATCCTTTTGAAAAAAACAAAATGATAGCATTAGAAAAACGTTTCATATTTTTTATCATATTCTTTCACTTTCTTTGTAAAGATTCTAGGTCTTTATAATAAATAAATGTGTAAAATATGTAAAAAAATTATTGAAAATTTTAGTAGTTACTCCCATAAATAAAAGACACTTTATAGGAGGAGAAACTAGGATACACTTGGAGACAATAAGAGAATTATTTATATTCATTCACTCATCAAGTATTTTTTTAAAATACTGCCTGGACAGTGTGGCTCAGTGGTTGAGCACCGACCCATGAACCAAGAGGTCGCCGGTTCAACTCCTGGTCAAGTCACATGCCCAGGTTGTGGGCCAAATCCCCAGTGGGAGGGACATGCAGGAGGCGGCTAATTGATGTTCTCTCTCATTGATGTTTCTATCTCTCTCCCCCTCTCCCTTCCCCTCTCTCTAAAATCAATAAAGAAAAAATTTTTTTAATATCGTGTGCCAGCCCTGGCCAGATTGGCTCAGCAGTTAAGAGTGTCAGCCCACGAACCAAAGGAGTCCGGGTTCGATTCCAGTCAAGGGCATATGCCTCAGTTGTGGTTCGTCCCCGGCCCTGGTGCAGGCGGCAACCAGTCAATGTGTCCCTCTCACGTCAATGTTTCTCTCTCTTTCTCTCCCTTTCTCTCCCTCCCTCCCACTCTATCTGAAGATAAACAGAAAAATATCCTTGGGTGAGGATTAAATATACATATATAGTGTGCCAAACCTTTGATAAATCCAGGTGAACAAACGACAATTCCTGAGGAGGAAAAAATGGCGGCGGAGTGAACGGAAGCTACCCAGACCATCTCCCAGAACCAAACTGGAATTACAACTATAACACAGACAAATCAACGGGAAAAAGCAACAGAAAAGCAGCCTGGAGGACCATATAACCAGGGACACTGACTCCATCCCGGTAGGCTTGCGAAGGCGCGAGACGGGGGCTGGGAGCCCACGGTCCGCAGCTCGGCAGAGGCCTCAGCTGGGAGCAGCGCCCTCGGGTTACACTCCCAGGCGGCTCCACAGTGCAGAGCCGGACAGAGGCTGAAACAGCCACAGCCACTCACCTTGGGCTCCGGCAGAGGGAGGGCAGACTGGACTGGAGCTGTGTCGGGACACTCGGGATCTGGAGGGCGCTCAGAGCTTTTGCTGAGTGCAGCCACTAAGGACGGTGGCCACATTGCTCCTTCCCAGGGCTCTGAGAGAGGCAGCAGCCCCTCCCTCGGAGATCCAACCCCACCACGTGGGCCATTGAAGTGCTAATTGAGGCTCACTAATGACCAGCATCTGCCCCACCCTCGGGAAATCCCCTTGTGCTAAGCACCTGAGGGAGCTTCTCAATCAACCGACAACCCAAAACTCATCAAGTACTGTAACCTAGACTGCTAGCCTCCAGGCAGAAAGCTAGAGGATAACAGTACCTTTCCTGGGCTGGCAACTTTAACCAGGAAAGTAAGACTTGACAGTGGTGTTCAACGTGGGTCCTCCCTCGCTCATCTAAACACAGGAGAGGGAGCCACAAACAGCAGAACACCAACACCCACAGGGAAAACTTGACAGGCTCCAAAGCCCACAGTGATAGCCAAAATGGTGAAACATAGAAACAGAAGCCAAATGAAAGAGCAAGAGACCTCCACCGAAGATGAGATCAATGTGGAGCAATTAGGCACGTTAACAGAGCTAGAATTCAGAGCCATAATCTTGAGGAAGCTGAACAGCATGAGTAAGGACATAGAGACACTGAAAATAAGCCAATTGGAAATTAAAAACCAACAAGAAGAGATAAAAAATGATATATCAGAAATGAAAAACACATTGGAAGGTTTAAAAAGCAGAGTAGGGGAAGCTGAGGACCGGATCAGTGAATTAGAAGACAGGGTAGAAAAAAATCAACCAATCAGAAAAACAAAAGGAAAAAACGATTAAAAAACAGGAAGACAGCTTAAGAGAACTATGGGACAACTGGAAACGTAATAATATTCGCATCATAGGAGTCCCCGAAGAAGAAGAAAATGAGCAAGGGATAGAGAATATATTAAAAAAAATAGTGAGAGAAAACTTCCCTAATTTGGTGAAGGAAGAAGGCATTAAAGTTCAAGAAGCACAGAGAGTCCCAAGTAAGAAGAACCCAAACAGGCCCACACCAAGACACATAGTAATTAAAATGCCACAAATTAAAGACAAAGAGAGAATCCTAAAAGCAGCAAGAGATAAGCAACAGGTTACCTACAAAGGGAACCCCATAAGGCTCTCAGATGACTTCTCACAAGAAACACTACAGGCCAGAAATGAATGGCTTGAAGTAATCAAGGTCATGAAAAACAAGAATCTGAATCCAAGACTACTCTACCCAGCAAGGCTATCATTCAAAATAGAAGATCAAATAAAGAGCTTCCCAGACAAAAAAAGGCTAAGGGAATACATTAGCACCAAACCAGCACTGCAAGAAATGTTAAAAGGACTGCTGTAATTAGCCGTAGAAATAGGAAGAAAAATAGAACCACACTAAACAAAAATGGCAATAAATAAGTACATATCAATAATCACCTTAAACGTAAATGGATTGAATGCTCCCATAAAAAGACACAGAGTAGCTGATTGGATAAGAAAGCATGACTCATCTATATGTTGTTTACAAGAGACCCACCTCTCAACAAAAGACTCACATAGGTTGAAAGTGAAGGGATGGAAAAAAATTTTCCAAGCAAATGGAAAGCAAAAAAAAGCTGGTGTAGCAATTCTCATATCTGATAAAATCGATTTCAAAATGAAGACCATAACTAGAGACAAAGACGGCCACTACATAATATTGAAAGGATCTATCCAACAGGAAGATATAACCTTGATAAACATATATGCACCCAATATAGGAGCACCAAAATATATTAAAAATCTTCTGGAGGACTTCCAAGGAGAAATCGACAACAATACAATCATAGCAGGGGACTTCAACACCCCGTTGACAGCACTGGATAGATCCTCTAGGCAAAAAATTAGCAAGGAAACAGAGACTCTAAATGAAGCACTAGACCAAATGGATTTAATAGATATCTACAGAGAATTACACCCCAAAACTACAGAATACACATTCTTCTCAAGTGCACATGGGACATTCTCAAAGATAGACCACATGATAGGACACAAACTAAATCTCTACAAGTTCAAGAAGATTGAAATCATATCAAGCATCTTCTCAGATCACAATGGCATGAAACTAGAAATCAATTGCAACAAGCACATGCAAAGACATTTCAACACATGGAGGCTAAATAGCATGTTATTAAACAATGAATGGGTCACCGAGGAGATCAAGGAAGAAATTAACAACTTCCTGGAAACCAATGAAAATGAACACACAACAACACAAAATCTATGGGATGCAGCGAAAGCAGTTCTGAGAGGGAAGTTCAGAGCACTACAGGCCTACCTCAAAAAACAAGAAAAATTTCTAATTGACTGTCTAACTTCACAACTTAAAGAATTAGAAAGCAAACAAAAAGAAAACCCCAGAGCAAGTAGAAGGAAGGAAATAGTAAAGATCAGAGCAGAAATAAATGACATAGAGACCAAAAAAACAATTCAAAGGATCAATGAAACAAAGAGCTGGTTTTTTGAAAAGATAAACAAGATTGATGGACCCTTAGCTAGACTCACCAAGAAACAAAGAGAGAGAACCCAAATACACAAAATCAGAAATGAAAGAGGAAAAGTAACAACCAACACCACGGATATACAAAAGATCGTTAACAACTACTATGAACAACTATATGGCAACAAATTCGACAATCTAAGTGAAATGGACAAATTTCTAGAAACACACAGTCTCCCAAAACTATTCCCGGAAGAGATAGAAAACTTGAACAGACCAATAACAACTAAGGAAATTGAAGAGGTAATCAAGACTCTCCCAGCAAACAAAAGCCCAGGCCCAGTTGGCTTCACGGGGGGAGTTTTACCGAACATTCAAAAAAGAACTAACACCCATTCTCCTCAAACTATTTCAAAAAATTCAAGACGAAGGAAGACTTCCAAACACGTTCTATGAGGCCAGCATAATTCTAATTCCAAAACCAGAGAAACACACTACGAAGAAAGAAAACTACAGGCCAATATCCCTGATGAACATAGACGCCAAAATCCTGAACAAAATATTAGCAAATCGGATCCAGAAATACATCAAAAAAATTATTCACCATGACCAAGTGGGATTCATTCCAGGGATGCAAGGCTGGTACAATATTCGCAAATCAATAAACATGATACACCACATAAACAAAATGAAGAATAAAAATCACATGATCATATCAATAGATGCTGAAAAAGCATTCGACAAAATCCAGCATCCATTTCTGATAAAAACGCTCAGCAATGTAGGAATAGAGGGATCATATCTCGACATAATAAAGGCCATATATGAAAGACCTACAGCCAACATCATACTCAATGGACAGAAACTAAAAACATTTCCATTAAGAACAGGAACAAGACAGGGATGTCCACTTTCGCCACTCTTATTTAACATTGTACTGGAAGTCTTAGCCACAGCAATCAGACATGAAGAAAAAATAAAAGGGGTCCAAATTGGAAAGGAGGAAGTGAAACTGTCATTATTTGCAGATGACATGATATTATACATAGAAAACCCTAAAGACTCCATCAAAAATCTACTAGACTTAATAAATGAATTTGGCAAAGTAGTAGGATACAAAATTAACGTCAAGAAATCGACAGCATTCTTGTACACCAATGATGAACTCACAGAAAGAGAAACTGAAAAAAAATCCCATTTACCATCGCGCCAAAAAAATTACGATACCTAGGAATAAACTTAACCAAAGAAGTAAAGGACCTATTTGCAGAAAACTACAGGTCATTTAAAAAAGAAATAGAGTAAGATATAAAAAAAGTGGAAGCACATACCCTGTTCATGGATTGGAAGAATTAACATCATTAAAATATCCATACTACCCAAAGCAATCTATAGATTCAATGCAATCCCTATCAAAATACCAACGACATATTTCATAGAACTAGAACAAATACTTCAAAAGTTCATATGGAACTAAAAAAGACCCCGAATAGCCACAGCAATCTTGAAAAAAAAAGAACAAAGTAGGTGGGATCACAATACCAGATACCAGGTTATACTACAAAGCGACTGTAACCAAAACAGCCTGGTACTGGCACAAGAACAGGCATATAGACCAGTGGAACAGAACTGAAAACCCAGAAATGGACCCAAGGCAATACGCTCAATTAATATTTGACAAAGGTGGCAAGAGCATACAGCGGAGTAAAGACAGCCTCTTTAATAAATGGTGTTGGGAAAATTGGACAGCTACATGCAAAAAAATGAAACTAGACCATCAACTTACACCATACACAAAAATAAACTCAAAATGGATAAAAGACTTAAATGTGACCCATGAATCCATAAAAATTCTAGAAGAAAATGTAGGCAACAAAATTTCGGACATCATACGGAGCAGAATTTTCACTGATACATCACCTAAGGCAACAGAAATAAAGGAGAAAATGAACACATGGGACTACATTAAACTAAAAAGCTTCTGCACAGCAAAAGAAACAATCATCAAAATGGAAAGGCAACCCACTGTATGGGAGAACATCATTGCCAATGATGTATCAGATAAGGGGTTAATTTCCAATATATATAGAGTGCTCCTACAACTCCACAAAAGGAAGACAAAGAACCCAATTAAAAAATGGGCAGAGGAGCTGAATAGACACCTCTCCAAACAGGACATACAAATGGCCAAAAGACATATGAAGAAATGCTCAACATCACTAATCATCAGAGAGATGCAAATTAAAACAACAATGAGGTATCACCTCACACCTGTCAGAATGGCCGCCATCAACAAATCATCAAACAACAAGTGTTGGCGAGGGTGTGGAGAAAAGGGGACTCTAATACACTGCTGGTAGGAATGCAGACTGGTGCAGCCGCTATGGAAAACAATATGGTGCTACCTCAAAAAATTAAAAATTGAACTTCCATTTGACCCAGTGATCCCACTGCTGGGAATATACACTAAGAAGCCTGAAACACCAATCAGGAAGAATATATGTACCCCCATGTTCATAGCAGCACTATTTACAATAGCTAAGATCTGGAAACAGCTCAAGTGTCCACCAGCAGACGAATGAATAAAAAAGCTGTGGTACATATACACAATGGAGTACTATGAAACGGTAAGAAAGAAAGATCTCTTATCCTTTGAGACGACATGGAGGGACCTGGAAAGTATTATCCTAAGTGAAAGAAGCCAAGCAGAAAAAGACAAATACCACATGATCTCACTAATATACGTAATATAATGAACATAACAGTCTGAGGAATACAGTAGACCCAGAAACATGGAAGTAGGGCACAGACTGACATCCCTCAGGAGAGGGGGTGGGGAGTGGGGGGGTGGGAAGAGATAAACCACAGAACTTATATGCATGTATGCATGACCAATGGACATGGACAACTAAGCCAGGGACGGGGCGGAGGTGGGGTGGGGTGGGGGGTGCCAATGGGGTAAAAAGGTAAAATATCTGTAACAAAAAAATAAATAAATAATTCATAAAAAAAAAAAAAAAACACAATTCCTTTCTTTAATGTGCTCATACTCTAGAAGGGGAGTCAGACGCATTCATTCATTCACCCCAGAAGTACTTATTGGTACCTACTATGTACCAGACATAGCTAATGAGGAAACAACAATGAACAAAACAGACAAGATCTACCCTCATAGATTTTGGCATCCAGTGGGGGAATTCAGAAAATAAACAATAAATATATAATAGAATGTCAGGAATTGATATATCTTATACATTTGAAAAACAGGGTAAAAGGATAAAGAGAGACAGATAATTATTTTAAATAGGTTGTTGAGTGAGGACTGTGAGAACAGCAAGTGTAAAAGCCCTGAGATGGGAATGTGTTTGGCATTTTTTTTTTTTTTATCCTCACCCGAGGACACCCTTCCATTCTTTGCTCAGGTAGAGTGGGAGGGAGAGAGAGGAATGGAGAGAGAGAGAGAAATGGAGAAAGAGAGAAACATCGACGTGAAAGGAACACATCGAGTGGCTGCCACCCGCACGACCAACTAGGGCCGGGGACAAACTGCAACCGAGGTACGCGCCCTTAGCGGGAACCGAACCCGGGTCTCTCAGGACCGCAGGCCGACGCTCTAACCGCTGAGCCAAACCGGCCAGGGCGTGTTTGGCATTTTTAAATATCAACTAAGAATACAGTGTGTTGCCTGGCCAATGTGGCTCAGTGATTTAGCACTGACCCATGCACCAAGAGGTCAGTGGTTCAATTCCCAGTTGGGGCACATGCCCAGGTTGCAGACTTGATCCCCAGTAGGGGGCGTGCAGGAGGCAGCCAATCGCTGTTTCTCATTGATGTTTCTGTCTCTCCCTCTCTCTTCCTCTCTCTCTAAAAATCAATAAAAATATTATTTAAAAAAAGAATAGTGTGTTAAGATACTAAATTTTCAGGGGGTGGCACTTTTCTTTGTGAGGGCAGGGCATGTCTAAGAACACTTGATGGGACACTGTTTTCCAACTATAATTACCTTTCCTCTCTCTCCCCCTCCTAACCAAGGTATGAATGCTTCCCATTGAGGACTATTGCCATAATGAGCCACTGCTATTAAGGTGACTATGTCATATCATTCTTAGGTGCAAGGAAACATAAGGCTGAAAATCACTGTGAAACATGCTATTTTAGTCAAATTTCTAGGAAAAAAATTTACCTCAGATGGCTCACTGAAAAGAGTGCTTACAAACACAGACATATGGGCAGAACAAACCTAAGGCACTTAAACACTCAAAAACTAACAACAATACAAAACTACCACTCCTAGGCTGAAAGGAGAAGGGGAGGAAATAAAATTACCGAACCTGTGAAAGCTAGACTCATAGAGGGGTTATATGACACTGGGGCACAGCTATTGTCTGTGACACTACATTTAACCAGGGAGGGCATAGGAAAACCCAATCTCTCTCCCCACCCTATGATGTCCTGCCAGTGACTACCACTGGCTGACTCCTAACAGAAGTCAGCTAAGGGATCCCAGGACAATACACTATGTAATACAATTCAGCCTTCTAGAGTACAGAGAAGGGCAGAGGGTAAACAATCTACTGGGCCAGGGGGCAAGGGAGGGAAGACAGCAAACCAGCACATATAATATATAAAACACATTTACAAAGAACAATAACAGTGAGAGGAGACAAGAAGTAAAGCTGAAGAAATTATAGATATAGGAAAGAATATAAGCCAAAGCATAGTCACAATAGAGTGCACTTCACGTTTAGTCTGAAAATGGAAGAACATGAGGCTGGAAAGGTAAATACCAGGTTATAGAGCAAAGATCAGCAAACTATACTTTGTGGTCCAAATCTAACTTGCTATCTGTTTTTGTAAGCTTTTATTGGAACATGTCATCCATTTATCTGTTGTCTATGGCTACTTTTAAGCTCCAGTGGCAGAGTTGAGTGGTATAGTTGAGTCGTTGCAAAAGAGATCATATAGCCCATAAAGCCAAAAATGTTTATTATGTGGCCCTTGACGGAAAAAGTTTGCTGACCCTTGTTACAAGAAACTTACATTGACATATGAAGAGCTTGGAGAATTTCTGCAAGCAATGGATAAATTGTCATCATCTCAATTATTAGTAAACAGTGAAATTCAGAACCCAGTAGAACACTCTAAAGCAACCATAAAAAAGAGCAGCTATTCACAACCTCTAAGAAAATATTTTGGAAACTAACTTCACTCACTCCAATGCATCTGGATATTTGTGCTAATCAAGTATTGTATGCCATGGGATTGATTTCAAATGTTCTTATCTCTGTTATTTTCTAAATACTTATCTAATTTTTTACATGTAAATAAAAAAATGTAAATAATTCATATTTAAAAGTTTACCTTGAGAGCGTTGTCTTCTGGAATATCATCTAATATGTTTTTCTTAAATTGATTTTGTTGGAAATTGGGCTTAAATGCCTGTAATGCACTGTTTTCATCTAGACTTCTCATTGTGGAGCCAGGTATTTTTGACACATGTGTTTGTCTGAGTACTTCACTTTCTCTTTGGTGAGGTAAGTTAGGAAGTTGAGATATTCTTGATTGTTTCTGTTGTTGCACTCCCAAACTCATTGGACAAGAATTTATCCTATCATTTGCCACGTTTGTTCTTTTGCATTGAGGCCTAAAATCATTTCTATCCCAAGTTTTCAAGCTGGTATTTTTGTTGCCATCGCTGTAGCTGTAACAGTTTTTAAAAATTAGTATTAGTTTTTGTTTAGTATATACTTTTTCTTTTTTTTTTAAACTTATCTTTATTGTTGAATGTATTACAGATCTTCCTTTTTCCCCTATTGACCTCCTCTCCCCACTCCTACCGCCCTCCTGCCTTTCCCCACACTGTTGACAGCATCCACTGGTTATGCATATATGCATATAAATTCTTTGGTTTATTTCTTCCCACCCCCCAACCCCTCTTCCCATTGAGGTTTGTCAGTCTAGCAACCAATTTGTACTTCTTAATCCCTTCACCTTTTTCACCAATTCCCCCAACTCCGGTCCCATCTGGCAACCAACAAAATGTTCTCTGTGTCTATGAGAATATTTCTGTTCTGCCTGTTCATTTTGTTTGTAGATTCAATTGTTGATAGATATGTATTTATTGCCATTTTGTTTGTTCATATTTTTTATCTTATTTTTCTTCAAGAAGACCCTTCAACATTTCATATAATAATGGTTTAGTGGTGATGAACTCCTTTAGCTTTTTCTTGTCTGGGAAACTCTTTATATGATCATTGATTCTAAATGATAGCTTTGCAGGATAGAGTAATCTTGGTTGTAGGTTCTTGTTTTTCATCACTCTGAATATTTCTTGCCACTCACTTCTGGCCTGCAACGTTTCTTTTGAGAAATCAGCTGACAGTTTTATGGGAGCTCCCTTGTAGGTAACTAACTGCTTTTCTCTTACTGCTTTTAAGATTCTCTCTTTGTCTTGAACCTTTTGCATTTTGATGATAATGTGTCTTGGTGTGAAACTCTTGGGGTTCATCTTGTTTGGGACTCTCTGTGCTTCCTGGACTTGTATGTCTGTTTCCTTCACCAAGTTAGGGAAATTTTCTGTCATTGTTGTTTCAAATAGGTTTTCAATTTCTTGTTCACTCTCTTCTCCTCCTGGCACCCCCATGATGTGAATGTTGTCATGCTTGAAATTGTCCCAAAGGCTCCTTACACTATCCTCATTTTTTGGTTTTGTTTTTTCTTTTTGCTTATATACTTTTTCTTGATTAAAAAAGTTAATAATTAACATTTGCATTTATATGGCAATTTGTGGTTTATAAACTACTTTGTAACCACTGACTAGTCAGAAATTCTAAATACAACATCATAACAACCCTACAGTATATGATACCTTTCTTTTCAGGTGAGGAAACTGAACCTTAGGGAGGAAGTAACTTGTCCAAAGTCAAATAGAAAGTTACTTGCAATACAGAACCCAGAGAACCCTAATCTCCCAGCTCAAAGCCCAATGCTATAAAGCATATTTTGTAATGATCCAAGCCTTCACATAACAGTGATTGTCCACGAGTGGTAAGATTTTGAGAAATTTTGCTTATTTCTTTATATATTTATTTTTAAATTTTTGTACTTTTACTATAGCTTAAAAGCCTTACTTATGAATCTGTTGCAACATTTTATTAGCTACATTAAACTGAGTTGTATCAGCTTATCAGAATATAATATTAATGAGGCCAAAATCAAAAGTATAATTTCTGAACTGGCTAGTTAAGAGTACCATAGAGAAAAACTGGTACAAATCACAAATTCTTATTTCTGAATAATTTTCCTGAAAATGTCACTAGAGGGCAAACAGTACAACCCATCCCTTGTTAGAGAAAATAATTTTTTTAAAAATCAAAGGTCTAGGTTCCCTAGAGACCAGACACAAATACAAATTGCATGGGACCTGAAGCTTTATAATTTGGGGAGCCTTCTTAAGTAAATTAGGTACAAAATAAGGTGTAAAAATAATGAGAAAATAATTTTAAAAGTTGATAAAAACCACAAACATCACATATTCAGAAAAAAATATTATTAGTATTATTATTAACTATCTGATACACGTCTATAAGACATTTTTCATATATTGATCACCTCTTCATATAACAGCAATTTTATTTTCAAGAGAAAGAACAGAAACAATTTTGTCTTCCCTCTCTCATGTATGTAGAAATTACACTTATTATTCATAGTTTAGAGAAGCTTCTTTCAGCTTTACAACTCCTTATTGATAACAGCACTTCTGCAACTTCCTCCAACATTTTTGCTCAGGGGGTGCTCCTAGCCTGGCCAAGGAGATCATGCCCACTACAGTGCTGCTTCAGCAACCAATCCAGCTCAGCCAGGTCCTCGATGTCCCAACTAGACCATGAGGCCTTCATTGTAGGGGCTCCTAAGCAGGGCAGGAAGCAGTGTCCCACTCAGAGCCTTCTCTTTGGGGACAAAGATAGAAACACATCACAACTCAGAATATGAGATCCCCAAAACAGGCTGTTGTTGGGGGTAGATGGATGTGAAGGTAAAGCCTAGATTTTGAACCTAAGCATAGAACCAGTTAAAGACCTTCAGCAGATTATGAACTGCCTAATTGGGTTTTCTGTTCTTGGATTTTCTTTTATTATATTCCAACTGTCTAACAGATTATCTATAATTTCAAACTGGAGTATCTAATATTGGGTGGCTATCCAGATTGCAATCTGTTACCTAATTCTCTAATACCTGTCAGAGCAGACTTTCTCCTAGCACCTGCAGCTGCAACTATGCCTCCAAAATCCATCTCAAAACCATTAACAGGCCTAGTTTCAAGCCCTGATCCTGAAGAAAGTAAATGACTTGTCCTGAGTAAATTAGCATGAGTAATAAAATCAAAGCTCATTTTTAAAATAAAAATATTGTTTTGATGTGTTTATTAACCACTTTATTAAAAATTTCCCCCTTTTAAATATTATGGTATCTTTGCCCTGGCTGGTTTGGTTCCACAGTTAGAGCATCGGCCTTTGGACTGAAAGGTCTCAGGTTCAATTCTCAGTCAAGGGCACATGCCTGGGTTGCAGGTTTGATCCCCAGCACCCATGGTGGTTGTGTGGGAGAACAATCAATTGATGTGTCTCTCTCACATCGATGTTCTCTCTCTCCCTCCCTCCCTTCCATTCTGTCTAAAAAATCAATGGAAAACTATCCATAAAAGTCAGGGTAATATTAACTTCATGGGATTGTTGTAAAGATTATTAAAATAATGTATCAAAGCACTAAACAATTACTAATATATGATATATGTTTAGTGCTGTTTTTCCAATACTCTGATCCCGAAATTATTTCCTTCAGTAGTTACCACTTACCCAAGAATACTAAAATCCAACCTAGAAAACAATCCATGTCCCTTTTTCCAGCTATTCATTTTTTCATAATATTTAGGCATTCAACTTAGATTCTTATAGCAATGACCCAGAATTACCCTCACTATCGTCCTTGATGGTCCTCTTCATTTCTTGAGCTCCAACCACTGCAGATGCATATGTATTTCAATCTCCAACTTTCTTTCTTATTCCATTCTATTTAGCCTGGAGCGAACTGTCTTACTAGGTAGGATAAGACTGAGCATTCTATTTGGTTCTCAATTTCTAAATGTATCCAATATTAAGATACAATTATTCCTGACTCTTTGTTTATTGTCAATTAGATCACTAATAAACCATATCAAAATCATAAATTCATAGTGATAAATATTGACAGAAATTTCATTATAACATTAAGAATTCTTTGGAAACATAATCACTGTTAAGTATACCTAAAGTTCTCTTAACTTCTTTTATAAAATGTAGCTAATACTGCTATAGTTATTATTAAGTAGCAATTTCCTACATGTAAGTCTGTCTAGGAAAGGAGGAAGAGATGAAGAAGAAGAGGAGAGAGGAAGAGAGGGAAAGGAGAAGAAAGAAATATTAAATAGACTCACCTCCAACCACTCTTGCTCCTTTCATTATTTGATTGAATAGACTTAGACACAAAATCTTGACTTCTCAAGGGATGAGAAACTGAGTGTGGTATTTGCCTTTCGAGGAAATGTATCTTATTAAATATTAATAGTTCGTTTCCAAATTCAGAAATGTAAAATATACATAGAAGAATAACATCAGTCAGTAACATAAACACATTCACTGATGTATGTTTCCACATACCCTGTGTTCATTGTTTTTGTTAAAGGAGGCACCTCTGGATTCATTGCTTCCCAGGCCCAATCTCAAAAGATATAACAGGAAAAAAAGTAAAACAGGTAGCATTTAAAAAATAATTATTTCATACTTATTTAATTTGATGATTGAAAGCTTGAAGAAAAGAACTTAAAGATATGGACTTGTTCTTCAATAGCACTTTGATGTGGAACCTCTCAGTCTGCCTTATTAATTTTTACAGATGTCTTTCTTCCCCACTGTGTATTAAGCAAAGGTAACAGTTTTATCTGTATCTTTTCTGCAATCAATTCTAGTATAGTATCTTGTACTCTGTAACATGAATTTAATATAATCAATGTTTCTTAAACTTTTTCATTTCAACGCACAGCAGAAATACATCACAACTCAGAACATATAAGTGTGTGGTGGGGGATAGGAAGAACATAAAATTTCACCATCAATTCTTATTCTTACTATGTGTGATACATTCTGAATTTTCTATTCTATTCTACTTTCTATTTCTTTTTTAAAGATTTTATTTTATTTTTTCCTTTACTGATTTCAAAAAAAGGAAGTGAGAAGGGGAGAAAGAGATAGAAACATCGATGAGAGAGAACACTGACTGGCCACCTCCTGCATGCCCCCCACTGGGGATCTGGCCCACAACCTGAGCATGTGCCCTGACTGGGAACTGAATCAGCAACCTATTGCTGTATGGGTCGATACTCAACCACTGAGCCACACCAGCCGGACTATTTCTTTAAAGATTGGCTATCTCCCAACTTATCTTTAAAAATTTCAAAAACACTGACCTAGTCGTATCTCTTATCCAACATAAGAATCTCTGACAGACAGTTTTCCTGGTCAGAGCCTGTAGAGTTCAGTATTTTAGGAAGATGCAAATTTCCCTATGAAGCAGTTCAAATTTTGTTATTTTTCAAGGTCAACATTATGCTTCTTATAAAATTATTTTAACTGGTAAAGAATTTTTTAAATGGCAGAGGATGACCAAATGCCCACTTATGCATATTCATGTGATTGTTTTAATCCATAAAAATAGGAAGATAAAATTCTTACTTGAAATTCTTCAAATGTGAAAGAAAAAAAAAAAATTATAAATTTAGAAGTAGATGAAGGTCTATGGTTAAACACTGGATAAAATTAACAATACAAATATTGAGAGGGAGGGGGAGAGGGAGAGAGATGATTTTATAATTCTATTTGCATAAGATCATACCACAGATTTTTTAAGTGTGCCCAGAAAAATGCAAATGCATATAACCAGCATGCACCAAATACATTTCAGAATGTCTTCCTGTCCAGGCCTTCTTCTGAAGTAAAAAAATCAGTAAACTTGAAGACCTCCCAGGACATACCACCACAGCTAATTGTTTCAGAGATGAAAGACCTAAACAGAAAGCTAAACCAGTGTTTGAATAACCTCACTTAAAAAAATGAGCTGAACCAGAGGCTCCCGGTCTCTAGAATTTGAATCAAGAGATACAGAGGGCAGTCTTATGGGCTCTGAGAACTAGAACTAAAAGGTTAGGTTAACTCCCAGCAAGGGCAATTTAGTTCATGTGCTAGTTGAAACTATAAGGAAGCCAACTGGGTGAGAGAGTAAAGAGCCAACAAATAAAGAAAGGCAAAAAATGTCATAAGAGAAAAAAGACTACAGCCAAGTGCTAGAAATTCCTGGGCTTCTACCTTTCCTGAGGTCTATTTTTTCCCATTTTCCCTGTGTTCCCATGCACATTTATTCCTGAGGCAACTTGAGTGTCTTCATTCTTTAGCACCAAATATCTAAGTCACAATATCCATTATGTATCTTAAAAAAGAAAAATAATTCTTTATAATGTAGGTTCCCACTTCATTAGAGCAAAGTCTCCAAATCTAAGATATTCCATTTAAAATGCTAAGCCACCCCTGTAGACAAGGAAACTCAAACTACTGTACTGGAATGTTCAGAAAGAGCCAAGTAATCCCTATATTTGGATGATGGAAAGAAGAAAAACATAAACTTTCTATTTCCATTATAATAAATAGAAGTAGTAATTTTCTATAATCCTAGTTCTTATTTTCTAAAAGTTTGCAACTTATTTTCTTACCTGTTGGTAGAGGAGGGAAATCATAGCTGTCAGAAGTAGTACTGATACCTGGATCATTTTTAAGTGGATTGGAAGTTAATGGCTGTCTAGTCCTCTTTTTCTGATTGAACAATGGTACAGGCAAACAGCCTAAATCAAATGTTCCAAAAAAATAGTATATAATGGGAAAATAGATCTAGTTATGGAATAATTTGTCTACTTCTATATATTAATTTTATATTTATTATAAATATATTTATATATCTTGGGATTGGTTCTTACATTCTTTTTAAGATCCTAAATAGCCTCATTTGTTTCTCTAAAAACTCCTTTCTTTTTTTTTTAATCCTCACCTGAGGATATTTTTCCATTTTTTGTACAGATAGAATGGGAGGGGGAGAGAGGAAAGGAGAGAGAGTGAGAAACATCGACGTGAAGGGACACATCGAGTGGCTGCCAACCGCACAACCAACCAGGGCCGGGGACAAACTGCAACCGAAGTACGTGCCCTTAGCGGGAACCGAATCCGGGTCTCTCCGGACCGCAGGCCGACGCTCTAACCGCTGAGCCAAACTGGCCAGGGCTCCTTTCTTTTTTTTTAATTTTATTTTTCAATTACAGCTTACATTCAACACTATTTTTTATTAGTTTCAGGTGTCAGTGTATAGCATAGTGGTTAAATAATCATATACTTCACAGTGATCCCCCCAAAATTTCAAGTACCCACCTGGTACCATACATAGTTATTAGAATATTACTATATTCCCTATACTGTACTTTATATCCCTGTGACTGTTTTGTAACTACCAATTGGTTCTTCTTAATCCCTTCATCTTTTTGCCTGGTTCCCTTACATCCCCTTCCCTCTGATAACCATCAGTCTGTTCTCTGTATTCAAGTCTGTTTCCATTTTGTAAAAACTTGGACTACATTAACAATGCCTTCATTCCTCTTGTTTGAAAGTAATCTCCATCGCCTCCCTCATCCCCATACCCTTCCCAAATCTACTTTTTTTTTTTTTTTTATCCTCACCCGAGGACATTTTTCCATTTTTGTTCAGATAGAGAGGGAGGGAGGGGGAGAGAGAGAGAGAGAGAGAGAGAGAGAGAGAGAGAGAGAGAGAGACATCGACGTGAAAGGGACACATCGAGTGGCTGCCTCCCACACAACCCCAACTGGGGCCGGGGACAAACTGCAACAGAGCTATGTGCCCTTAGTGGGAACCTAACCCAGGTCTCTGGACCGGGGGTCAATGCTTCCAACTGCTGAGCCAAACCAGCCAGGGCCCAAATCTACTTTTCCCCCCCTTATTTTCCACCTATGCTTGCCTATTACCATATCAACTGGAGGGGGCCCTTCAAGTACAACAGAGGTGAGGGAGAACTAGACATTGACCCATATTTTCCAAAACTCTAACCACTCTTTGGACTATGGTAGCATACCCTTTAGGGTCATGGTTCTCAAACTTTAGTTTAAGATTTCACTGGAATTGTTCTTAACATGCCAATTCCTAGATCCTACTCTCATAGATTTTATTTCAATAGATTTGGTTTGGAAGCAAAAACTGAAATTTTAACAAGCACTCCAGGTAACACATATTTTCTGTGGATCATTTTGACAATGCCTTAGAGTGTAATATCCAATCCAAATGAGAAAAAGGACTACCCCCATAACTCCCAGATAAAAGACCTGGGATCTCAAGTCAAGCCAAAAATCAGACTTTATAAAACAGTAAAACTAGAAGGGATCTCAGAGAAAAAAGGTCCCAATGGTTTACACACTGCCACAGTGGAAGAACCTAGATAGGACCTAAGCTTCCTAAATCTCAGTTTAGATATCTTGCCACTATGCTCTATCTGGTGCCATCAAAATGTGTACTACAGGAGAATATAGACTCTGTAATAACTGTCTGATGAAATTATGTGAGTTGTGGAGTCAGACTTCTTGTGTTGGGATTACAACTTTAAAGTAGGGTTAAATTACATACAACTTCGTAGTATAAACTTGGGCAATTTCCTTAAACTCATTGTGCCAATATGACATATACTGAGAGGCAGGATAATACAATGATTAAGAGTATGAACTCTACAGCCGGATTCCTAGGTTCAAATCCTGGTTCTGCCACTTCCTAAGTCACTTATTTAACCACCTCTTTGTGCCTTAGGTTTTTACCTGGAAAATAAGGATGATAATAATAATACCTATCTCAAAGGGTTGCTGTAAGGGTTAAATATATTACTACATATAGTTAAATGTCTAGAATACAGTACATTCACAGTAAATAATAGCTATTATTATCTTCATTGTCCCTTATCATCATTCCCCTGGTTCTCTACATTCTTGCCCTGTAACTAATAAATCGGAAAGCAGAAATGGTAGGGGAAGCTGTTAGGAAAACAGAAGTGCTTTTGGAAATATTTTAAGTCACAAATACAAATAAAAAATAAATCTATTTTTTCATTTTCAGCCTTAAAGCACAGAACTCAATCATGTAGGGTTTATAGGAAGAACACTCATAAATCCAGGGAAGTATGATTTTACTCCCACTTCTGCCACTAAATGTTTTCCCTTAAACTATTTTATTTCCTTGGACCTAAATAGTAAAGAGGCTAGACTACATGTTCCATTTTTTTTAAGTTCCTTCCAAAATGCTCCATCTATAGATTACACAAGCTTTCACATGGTATATACAAAATACAGAAATTTTAAATAAAAGTTGGTCAATACCTGCTGTACTTCGAGTTGAATTTTCATTTAGGTTTCTCTTCATCTCCTTCAATATCAAAGTCTGTAACTTTTTCTTTAGCACTCCAAATTTACAACACGAATGTACCGGGCTAACCCTTCAAAGGAGGAAATTTGTAACACTTATCGTTATCAACAACAAAATCAAATTCTCCTGCTCGGAATGACTGGAACGAAGGTTTAAAACTCTAGTTTCAAACCTGATCACGCTCTAACGGTTTAGAGAGACTTTCGGTGCCTGGGTAAGAACGAACAACATAGGCCGTTTTTTCAACCCTGTTCGAAACAAGCTGAGACTGGAGTGGGTATCACCTCGCTGGGAATTTCACACAGCCGATCTGGTGCCCCACAGCGGGGATCACCCTGAACCAGACCTGGGAGAGAGACGTGGGCTAGAACGCCCACAAACCCACCGGCTCGTAAGACCAGGGCGGAAACACGTGCACTGAACTAGCCGAACACGTGCACCGAACTAGCCGAACACGTGCACTGAACTAGCCGAACACGTGCACCGAACTAGCCGAACACGTGCACTGAACCAGCCGAACACGTGCACTGAACCAGCCACGTGAGCGCGCACGGCCTCACACGACAGCACACGCACGTGCCCTGCCTCCGTCATCGGCCGAGACCTCAGGATTACACGCCAAAGCCGACCGCCTCCCCCGACACCCACAACTGACATCACGGTCCCACACGGTTTCTCGGACTTAAAGCGAACGAGCTTTTCTGTTCCAAACTGTTGTCATTTTTCCCATGTTTAGCTTCCTCATCTAGTTCAAGCCCCAACAGGATTCCACACGCTTACCGATCGTGTGAAAGGGCAGGACACCAACCCAAACCCCTTCTGCTCCCAGTTCCCTCACCCGAGGGGGCAGACAGACGAGAGCCCGACTGAGGAACAGTGCCAAGCACGCCGGGGTCACTATTCATTCCCAAATGCAGAAATAAAACTTGGGAGGCAAAGGGGCAGGGGCTTCGCTCCCCACCCTGGGCTCCGGGCCGGGCCCAGCGGGCCCTGCGGGAAATACTCCTGACGCCATTCTAGGAACCCAATCGGAGTGCTGAGGCTCTTTTCTCGGCCCAGAAACACCAGCGCAACGCACGTCCTAGCCGAGGGTGCGCAGGGGGGGGCGGGTCTGAGGAGCGCGCACACGGGTGAACAAAAGTGCACCCTCCAGCCCCTGGAGCCCCGCTCCGGCTTCCAACTGGGCCCGAACGGTACTGGGGCCGGCCACGTCCATGAGCAAGAACTTTGCTCGGTCTACACGCGCGTGCGCACAGCGCGCCGAAGGCCGCGGCCTCAGAGGGGGCCCAGGGGGCCTACTTTGACCCCTCGTCAGGAGGTGGAGGGCTTCCAGTCAGGGCTCCTGCTCCGTTCGAGCATTCTCTCCTCACCCAGGGAATGGGGCAGTTTGGCACCTGGCGACAACACAGTCTTTCCCTTCATGGCTCTCTTACCAACACCTTACGCGACTTCTGCTCTCAGGCTCCGTCGCCCCAGTCAACGGTCGCCTCCGTCAACCGACGCCCAGTCAGCACCGCCGACCTCCGAAAAAGCGCGGGAAGTCAAGCTCTGCGCAGGCGCGTCTCAAACCTGCGCAGACTGACGTATCTCAGACCTTGCTGCCCGCCCGCCTCCTCCAACCCCCGCGCAGGCGCAGAAACCCCCACTTTGGAGCATGCGCGAAATGGCATCGTCTCTTCTGCAGCTGACGAGGACAAGTGCCGTAGCTCCCAGGAACCATAAGGTTTCCACGCCACCCCTTGTGTGCTCTCACTGTGGTGTAGGAGGCGCAGGGATGGCTCTGCCGCTTTAGAGGAGGAAAATTCTGTTCTAGTTTCTGGTAAGGCGATGGCAGATCTGCCCAGCTGGGTTCTGCCCCAGATTTGTCCGAAAAGTCTGCCAGGCCTGGTGGCCCAACCCCTGTCCACACCAGGGGTCATTTATTAGGTCCTGGACACCAGTCTATAAGATGTTAGTGGCAACCCGACTGTGCCTAGAAGCGAATACTCACAGGTTACAGGCCTCAGAAACCAGGTCACAGTGTCTTGCTTGGTCTGGCTGAGTTTCTGAGTCCCAGCACTCAGGGAACTAGTCACCGGGAGGCTGGTGGGGGACCTGAGGCCTGGGCTGAGATGACAGCCCTGCAAGGTAGAGAGCAGTCAGCAAGGCAGGGCCAGCGCTGCAGAGCTCAGGTGCCTCACAGACCCGGGACCCCAAAAGGAAATGGAGTGATGCAATTGCAACCAGACAAGAATGGGTCTGAGCCACCTGTCACTGCTTGAGCCAATTAAGCAGAGACAAGGTTGAATCTTATAGGAGCATTTATTCCAATATTGCCAGCGGAATGGGAGAGTAGTAGGTCATCCTATAAAATCTGCTCTGCCCACGCTCACGTGCCAGCTGCTTTTATAGGGTAGAGAAACAATGACTATATGAGAAAGGGAAAAAAAATGGGTAAAATGGTTACAGGCAAGGAGGGAGGAATGTGGACAGGGGGCTGCAAGGGCTGGTCTCCAGCGCGTCACAGCCATGGGTCCAGTGTTCCATAATCAGGTTGTTAATCTTTCCATGATGTCAGGCAGTCCCCCTTGTCCTCAGATCAGGAGAATAGACAGCATCCCTGAGGTAAGCTCTTGAGGCGCACACCTCCCAGCCAGGTCAGAGTGGGCTGTTCTTTAATCAGAACAAACCAACCAGGATCAACATTGCAAAGGTAGATTAACATTTCTTATAACTATGGCTAGTACGCTGCTATGATTAGTTCTCCATTCTGTTATTCTCTCCCACCCTTTTCACAGTGACCCTTAACCCTGGCCTTTCTGCCACTAGTTTGCTGCTTCTCAGCCCTTTGATCTTGAGCAAGTTATTGATTCCTGCTAGACATTTCCCCCTCAGTAAAAGAGTAATACACTATTTACTTAATTGCCCTAAAGTATTAAAAGAGAAAATGAACCATCCTGGCACAGAGTAAATGCTGTGTAAATGTTAGCCCTTATTTAATAACTAGCTGCCATTTACTGAGTTCTTACTATAGGCCAGGGTTAGTAATTCTAGTTCCGTCTGGGTTCAAAGACCATGTTTTGTTGTTACCATGCCTTCCAAAATTTTGAAGACAGGATAGGCAAAGGGAAGAGGTGCAGAGGGCACAGAGATGGAAGGAAAGCTGTCAGTGAAGGCCTAGGACTATGACACCATGAGACAGAAGAGTAGTTCCTTTGAAGATTAGGTCAAACAAAGGAGAGTGTTATAAGATAGGATTACAGATAGGCTGAGACCAGCTAATAATACAGAACCCTGAATGCTAAATTTCAGAATAAGTTTGAAGAAATAGTCTTCATTTAATCGGGGGGGGGGGGGAGGAGGAGACTTTAAACAAATATCTGAAAAGACGTGTTATTCATTTTGGTCTAGAGAGGAGACCAAATGCTGGTTTGTCTCAGCATTTGGAGCATCAGCATACAGACCGAGGGATCTTGGGTTCAATTCCCAGTCAAGGGCATGAACCTGGGCTGCAGGTTTGATCCCTGGCCTAGTCAGGGTTGTACAGGAGGCAACCAATTGATATGTCTCTCTCACATTGATGTTTCTCTCCCCACCCCCAACCCCCATTCCACTCTGTCTGAAAATCTAAGAAAAAATATCCTTGGGTGAGGATTAACCAAAAAAAAAAAAAGCATGATAGCAGCCACTCGATGTGTCCCCTTCACGTCAATGTTTCTCTCCTCTCTTCCTCTCTTTCCCTCTCTCTCTATCTGAACAAAGAATGGAAAAAAATGTCCTCGGGTGAGGATAAAAAAAAGCAAAAAAAAAAAAAGCATGAAATAGAAGCTTCAAGAAAGCCCATTTTAACCTGAAACATACATACGTATATACATAATATATACATACACACACAACCACCCACCTAACCCCCCCCCCCAATTAAAGATCTCATTTAAAAAAAAAAAAACTATAGCCCTGGTCAGTGTGGCTCAGTTGGTTGAGCATCATCCCATGCACTAAGAGGTAGTCAGTTCGATTCCTGGTCAGGGCACATGCCCAGGTTGCAGGCTTGATCCCCAGTGAGGGGTGTTCAGGGGGCAGCTGATCGATGTTTCTCTCATTGATGTTTCTCTCTCTCTCCCTCCTCCTTCCTCTCTTTCTAAAATCAATTAAAAAAAGAAAACTAGCTCTGGCCGGTTTGGCTCAGCGGTTAGAGCATCGGCCTGCAGTCCAGAGAGACCCGGGTTTGGTTCCTGCTAAGGGTGCGTACCTCCATTGCAGTTTGTCCCTGGCCCTGCTTGGTCGTGTGGGTGGCAGCCACTCGATGTGTCCCTTTCACGTTGATGTTTCTTTCTCTCTCTCTCTTTCTTCCTCTCTCTCCCTCCCACTCTAGCTGAACAAAAAATGGATTAAATGTTCTCGGGTGAGAAAAAGAAAAGAAAACTATAAACCCACTATGAACAACATCCTATACTACATCTGTAAGAAACAGAGGTATGAGCAATGTGGAGTCATTGCTAGCAGTTTATAAACTTATCTATCCTGTCTCTATCGTGTTCTGGTTATCATTTATTTCCACCTAAAAAGTTGGTCCGGATGGTGACAGCAATAGGGCTGGGCCATAGGGGAAGAAGAAGGAGAATACTAAAATAGTCAGGATAGTTTGATTACGTGATTGCTGGACCACCACATTATATATGAGACACTTTACATATGATATTGGAGAGAAGACCCTCCTTAGCTCTCAATCATACTATTTTGGAAACAATCTCACCTGAAAATTGTCTTCCACAGAATTTCTGACATCTATGGGACAGCCATGACTATAAAAAGTTTACTCTCCCTTTAATTTAAACTACATTACTTTACCAATAAATCAGATACCACCACCCCCACAAAACATTTGTAGTGCGGGAAGCTACTACGCTTATTCTTTTAAGTACTTCAAGACATTAAATATTCAACCTATGAATGAGATAGTGACAACTAGAAAGGGTTCCACTTTGTATACTATTAGTTCTGTGAACTTTCAAAAAATAACTAGACTGATTTTTTTTTTTTTAATGTGGTTTTTGTGGAGCTGAAAAATGTAGTGTGCTTTGGGAAACAGGGAGTTAAAATCTTTCGGACGTTAACTCGGTAAAAGAGTGAGAAAAGCCTCTTGCTCTAGCTCTAAGGAAATGCGCTCCTTTTTTCTAATAAAGCTTTCCACAGAAGACAAACTGTGCACAGTGAGCAAAGTAAGTATGGGACAGATTTACTGGAATTTATTAGCTATCAAAAAGGTTACTCATTTTGTATGTAAGGGAAGCTTTACTAATGAATGTTCAATGGGCTTCAAAGTGCTGATCTGTTAAAATTCTATAAAACGAGTCTTGAAATACGAGTCATCTGTGCCAGCTATGAGCAAATAACTGAAGCGGCATTTCCAGAAAGACTAGGGCAAAGGACAGAACTAACCACAAACTGGCAGGAATAACCAAACAAGATCTAATCAAGTGTTAATAATTCACCATAGTTACTGCTCCTAAAACCACAGGAACTAAGCAATATGACTATCATCTGTTTATATTTATGCTCATGTTCAACATCTCGACACTGAAGTCTTCACGTGTTCATTGATGTGGGTAGAAAATCAAAAGTTACTGGGGCTTTTACTTAGGACAGTCATTTGAATACGTAAATTTAGATTTTATTATTTTGCTTTCTTTATCTCTACATTATAATCTTTTAAAGGGAGAACATAGGAATCGGTTTATTGAATGTTTTGAAGTATTCACATTTTATATTTCTGTCATGTGTTTTGTTTGTATGCTTGTTTGTTTCTTGGGCACACTGTAGTGCTGTTTATGTGAATTCCAAATGAGCAAAACTAGAACTTTGGAGAAGGCCAAAATTAACAGGAAGCACCCTATTGTTCTGGGATAAACACTGAACTTAAAATTGGAAAACCTGGGTCCCAGGCCTAGTTTTCTCCTGGTAGCTAAGGAACCTTACAAGTTATTTAACTTCTCTTTCCTTTACCCCTGTAATGGGGATGTCAGTACCTACTACATCCTATCTTATAAAGTGGATAGGTGAATAAACTTAGATAACATATGCAGAAAAACATGACAGATTAAACTACTCTGCAGTTATGAATTACTCTTGTTGCACTTCTATCAAACAATCTGGCATTACTAATACACACAGTATTTCCGGTGCTTGAACATATTTGACTTTCTGGATGATTGAGCATAAAATCAAATCAGATTTGGTTCAAAATCATTTCTCCAAAGAAATATAACCATCTTCGTGTTCTGGTTAATTACCCTAATAAGACCCCCCCTTTAAAAAAATATTTTTTCTTTATTGATTTTAGAGAGAGAGCAAGGGAGAGGGAGAGGGAGTCAGAAACAGCTATGAGAAAGAACATCAATTGGCCACCTCCTACATGCCACACACTGGGGATTTGTCCCACAACCTGGGTATGTGCCCTGACTGGGAATCAAACCAGTGACCCCTTAGTGCTTGGGTCAACGCTCAGCCACTGAGCCACACCAGCTGGGCAAGACCCCCATTTTGAGTGACACATTCCAGTGGAGAATCCCTGCTGCTAGTAAATTAGACTTAGTGTGTCTACATAAACTCATATAATCTGGTCAGTATATATAGCACACCCCAAGACATGTTCAGGCATTACAAAGACTTGAAAATTACTAATAGTTGCTTTTTCTTTAGCACTGAGGCAAGAAAGTAAGAAAGATTCCTAAGGAAGTTGACAAAATTACCAAAATCTTCATGAAATTAAAGGCATGTTTCAAAGTAGCTTTTTAAATTCCAGTGATTACTGATTTTGTTCTTGCGTCTTTGACCATAAAAAAGCCTTCTGCCCTGGCCGGTTTGGCTCAGCAGTTAGAGCGTTGGCCCTTGGACCAGAGAGTCCTGGGTTCGGTTCCCACTAAGGGCACCTACCCCGGTTGAAGTTTGTCCCCGCCCCAACTGGGGTTGTGTGGGTGGCAGCCACTCGATGTGTCTCTCACACATCAGTGTTTCTCTCTCTTTCTTCTTCCCTCTCTCTCTCCTGCTCTATCTGAAGATAAATGCAAAAATGTCCTCAGGTAAGGATAAAAAAAATTAAAAAAAAAAAAGCCTTTTGAAAGAAAGGATGCCAGTTCTCTGAGGATGTTGATTAGTATGAGATGTCGATCTGCCATGGGCTGTGTATAGAGATGAGATTCAAATGCCCTCAGATGAGGAAAAGTACCTGGACTCGTTTCAGAGAAGAAGTGTTTTTAAATACAAGTGGAAATGATAAATATTGAATAATAATATGCATATTATGGGCCACCTTTTTTATTTTTGAGGATTAGAAAAGTATAAAATTGTATTACTACAAATGGTCATGAAAGCACCATTAGATGGCATTCTAGCTGAAGAAAAACCACAATGTTTGCATTAGTATGAGATGTCGATTTATTTCTGCATTTAGATCTACTAACCATTTGAGGGAGTTAGAAGTTAAAGTAAACAGCTGTAACTGTAGTTGATCTCTGCATATTTTGATCCAAATATGGTAAAGGGCAGGGCTAAAGAAAGGAGTGTCCCTATAATAAACAGGGCTCAGAACTTGTAACAGAAAATTAAAATACACTCCACTCAAGAGGACTCTGCACTCTGCACTTTGGTTAAAGTCTCATTTAGATTTGAATTTCTAAACTTTTCTTAAGAAGCTAACTTTTCTTTCATCTCCTCTCTTCTGAATTTCAGAAATCTGATACAATTACTTGATAAAATGTCTTCTTGTCATGTTGTTGAAGATCCCATAAAAAAAGTTGCTATCTTTGGAGGAACTCATGGGAATGAGCTAACAGGAGTATTTCTAGTTAAGCACTGGCTAGAGAATGGCGCTGAGATTCAGAGGACAGGGCTGGAGGTAAAACCGTTTATCACCAACCCAAGAGCAGTGAAGAAGTGTACCAGATATATTGACTGTGACCTGAATCGAGTTTTTGACTGTGAAAATCTTGGGTAAGACTATATATTATGGGGTGTGTGTGTGTGTGTGTGTGTGTGTGAAAAGTGGTATGTGTGGGAGAGAACATGTATATGTATATGTATGTGCTGTTCATGTCTGTACATATAGTCACTATTGTGAATACGATTACTTTCGCTTTTAATCACACTCCATTATGAATTATTCATTTCTCTAAACTGGGCATTCACATGCTCTTTTATAAAGCTTTATAAGCATCAGACTGTTCTTAACTAATTTTCTTTTTAAATGTATTTTATACAGGCTGAGATAAATAACTAGTATTTTTATTTTAAAATCTATCTTTCAAGAAACAGCATTAATAGTCTTTTGCATTAAATTAGTGTTTGGTCATTATACTTGGGTACATACATATTTGTTAGCTTTCTAAGTGATTCACCACTGTGTTTTTATGCAACTATATTTATGGTAGTGCATAAAATTCTAGTTAAGAAAAGTGTTAGTTGTTATTAATATTTGTTTAATGAAAATATCCAACCATAACACTCCAGGTATGTTCTGATTAATTGTTTTTGCCTTTGCTTACATCATCATAGCTACTATTGTAGATATTAGGTTTCTAAATATTATATTTTTACTACTTCTTTCATTTATCTAAAAATATTATCAAACACCTAGTCTTCACGGGCACTGTGCCAGGTACTGTGAGAGGACAAAGCTATGAGCAAAAATGGCTTCTACCCTTAAGGAATTGGCAGGCTAGCAGCTAAGAACAACTAACACAGCACTGTTTTATGTCCTCATTTTCTAATTTGAGTTCAGCGAGTTACTTAAGTGTAATCTCGCCACAGATCGATAGTTGGTTACTACTGTGAGTACAAATATGCCTCATTTTATGGAATAGAGTTTTTCCAGTGTAATTATTCATTAGTCATACTTCGTGTATAAGATCATATTTTTACCACCATCAATTTTTTATAATCCTCACCCAAGGATATTTTTTCCATTGATTTTCAGAGAGAGTAGAAGGGAGGAAGGGGGGAAGAGAGAGAGAGAGAAACATCAATGTGAGACACATACTGATTGCCTCCCGCATGTGCCTCAACTGGGGACGGGGATTGAACCTGCAACCCAGGTACAAACTCTTGACTAGGAATTGAACCTGCGACCTTTTGGTTCTGAGGGCTGACACTCTCACCACTGAGACAGTGGCCAGGGCTTTCCTAGCATAAGTTTTAATTTCAAAAATGCTTTATCTTCATAACTGAGGTCATATCAACACAATGAAAACTTATCTATTCACCTAAAACAGCTATTAACTAAGTCACATTATGAGTAAGAATTTGTTGAAGAATAACTCTTTTAGATGACATGTTAACTTCCCAAATAACTCTTAAATGGACTAGGGTGAGTTTTCTTGATATGACCATTAGTATGCTTTTCAATGAGAGCAGTCTTTTTAATTAACTTCACCTTCTAATTCTTACATTTTAACACTATTCAGGCTCAGCAGTTCTCTTTCAGGGTGGTTATGGAAATTTGTGAGATGGATTAATTAATTACCTTCTCCTGTCCTTCCTCTCCCAAATTAGTTACTTCTCCTGTGCTCTCCATCTCAGTGATATCACCATTTCCCACCAAATTCTCTATGAAAATTATTTTAGAGCCTTCCTCGTTCCTCATCCCTCCATGTCTAGCAGGTCACTAAATCTTTCAAATTATTGAAATATTGAATTTTTGCAAATCCAATCTTCCTCTCCATTTCCACTGCCTTAGTTTATTTCTTCTTTGGGCTGTTGGAGTAGCCTCCTGAGGAATCTTTCTGCATCGGCCTTACTCCCATCCTTCCTGCCATGGAATCATCCTAACATGCAAATCTTATGTCTCTCCCCTGCTGAAAATTCCTCAAAAATCTCTTATCCAGAATAGATTTAAGTAACTTAGTTTGGCTGATGCACCCTTTAGGGTCTTCCCCTGCCTGTTCTTTCAGCTCCATCCTTTGGAGCTCTTCCCTAGGACCTGGGCTCCAGGCATGAGAACTCAAAGTGCCCATTGATTTTTAAGACCTCAAGCCTTGACTATGAGCAAGTAGGTGGCTAGTGGTTTACTCCTATGTGGGAGAATTAAAAGCAAATCAGTTGGGAGTGGGAGGATCTAATGAAATTGTTTCGTGAATTAACTTTTTTATTATTCTTTCCTTTTTATTGAATATATTGGGGTGACACTGGTTAACAAAATTATGCATGTTTCAGGTGCATGATTCCAAAACACATCTTCTGTACACTGTATATATCCATTAGGAACTATGTTTGGTTACATATAATAGAAACCTAAAGACAGTGGCTTAAATAAATAAGGGTTTCTTTTTCACAAATAATACCTCCAGAGATTCAGAGACTCAATAATATCATCAATGCCACTGGTTCCTTCCCTCTCCCCACTGCACCACTCTTAGCATGCAGCTTTGGTCCTCATAGTTTTTGCTTCCTAGTAACAACAATAACAACAACAACAACAACAACAACAACAACAAACAGCTGCTCTACCTTCTTGATTGCATCCCAGGAATTACCCAGGTGCAAATTGTAGGTCCCTTGACAATACTAACAAAAATAGTCTGGAAGTAGAAATATGTAGATGGAATGATAGAGAAATTGTTGAATGGTTTAATGAGGAAAAATGAATTTAAATCATCATCATGTATAGTAAGGGGAATAAAATGTATCCTAGCCTGGCCAGGGTGGCTCAGTGGTTGAGCGTCGACCCATGCTCCAAGAGGTCACCAGTTCGATTCCCAGTCAGGGTACATGCCCAGGTTGTGGGCCCGATCCCCAATGGGGGGGCATGCAGGAGGCAGCCAGTTGATGTTCTCTCTCATCGATGTTTCTATCTCTCTCTCCCTCTCCCTTTCTCTCTCTCTAAAATCAATAAAGGAAAAAAATGTTTTAATAAAACGGTAAGATGTATCCTAACCATTTCTGGAAGAGGGAAGGGGTCAGGTAAAGACTCATTTCAGAATCCAATAAAAACTATTAACCTCTATCCCAGAAAAAAAATATGCATATGCCTGCAAAAGTGTTGTATTTTCTTAGCTTTTACAGACTTATCTGTAAAGCTTGTTCCTGGATCACTAGTGGTTGCTGTACCTCAATTGAGAATCCTTAATTAGATAATGTGAACATTATCTAAGTTTTTATGCACTGGAATTAGCCAGAAGGGAAAAAAATTTGCATTTGATTGTCTAGCTCCATAACAGCCCAGGGCACATTACTAAAAAAAATGTTGATTAAATCAATGCATGAATTTTGTTTGAGGTTGAACTCAAATGGTAAATCTGTTTGAAGTGTTCTTTTTTAGCCACATTAATGAAATACCATTTGCAAGCATGGCAATGCAACATTCTATAGGATCAAATGAAGGGGGAAATGTCATTGTTCATTTGTAAAGTTTTCCAGTAAATTTCTACTTCCCTTACAGGTTTTTCGTAGTAAAGGTTTGACAACTGGTTTCTTATGCACTGTGTTCCTATTGTATATTTGTGTTATATTAGCCACAGATATTTTTAATCTCTTTCTTTCTGCTAATAACAGCAAAAAAATGTCAGAGGATTTGCCATATGAAGTAAGAAGGGCTCAAGAAATAAATCATTTATTTGGTCCAAAAGGCAGTGAAGATTCCTATGACATTATTTTTGACCTTCACAATACGACTTCTAACATGGGATGCACTCTTATTCTTGAAGATTCCAAGAATGACTTTTTAATTCAGATGTTTCATTATATTAAGGTAATGTTAATGTTATTAATTTATAAGTTAGCATAAGGCCTGTACTTTTAAGTTAATTTTAGATGCAAAACAACGAGAAGAGTTTCAGGAGGGAGGGTCTAAGAGAGATGGGGAAGGGGGAGGAATATCGGAATGGAGGCTATGGTGACTAGCAGGAGAAAAGAGAGAGGAAATGAGTAAAATAATAAATACAGTGGATGAAATAATAAAATATTGTAGATTCTTGTGTCTATAAATACTTTATCCAGACAGCTACCAAATCATAGGCTATTTGTTAAAACTAATGCCAAATTTTAAAATGTTGTGGCCAGTGTGGTTCAGTTGGTTGGAGCATCCTCCGATACATGGAAAGGTGGCGGGTTGAATTCCTGGTCAGGACATGAATAGGAGGCAACCAACCAATGTTTCTCTCACATTGATGTTTCTCTCTTTCTCTCTCCCTTTGCCTTCTTCTCTCTCTAAACTTAATGAAGACATATCCTTGGGTGAGGGTTTTAAAAATTATAAAATAAAATAAAACGGTGTGGTTAAAGTAGTTCAATTAGAGTTTTAGGAAGCTCAAGAAATAATCATTTAATGTGGACTATAGGCCAATGATAAATACAGTGACTCTGTTTAGTCCGACCCTTCTCTCCATTTGACTCAGTTACCCCAGCATACATGTGATCTTTCAGTACTTCATATAGCTAATCATTTTAAGGCTCAGAAATCTACAAGATGAAAAATTCAGCAAGACAGTGCATATAGCTAGAGAAAACTTGCTAGAAAATAACAACCAAGCAAAAACAAATAATTATCTGTCTACTTCTTACTGTATAATAAATATCCTTCCTTCGAGAGAGTATGATTTAATGGAAAGAGTTTGACCCTGTATCCAGGAGAACTTGGTTCCAAATTCTGACTTTCTCATTCACTAATCTTGGAAAAGATACCCAACTCCCAAAACCTTGGTTTCCTCATTTTATAAAGTTGACATAGTAACAGCATTTACTTATATGGCTGTTAGAGCCTTAACTGAGATAAAGTATTTAAAGCATTTAGTTTAATACTGAATAGACAGTAAAGATTAACTATTATTTTTGTTTCTTGGAGTTTTTGACTATTATTAGGTAGTTCTGGTAGGAGATCATAATGTAGCTATCCTTCATTGTTCGTTGAAGGAAAGCTGAATGCTTTGGTTGCCAGACATGGAAGCAACATAGCTGACATTATCAAAACTGAGAGGCCTGCCTTGAATTCTTATTCAGATAAGTAGAGGTAGGAGGAGTTACCAACATCTGCAGAGTCCTGGACCACAGGGTAGAAACAGAATTCTTTAAACCCAATGCTAAGCTAAATAGTAACCACTGACTGAAAAAAGAAGTAAATCCATTCTGAAGGAAAACTTATTTCATATTCTTTAATCATAGTTCTTGAGAATTTAATGTACATTTGACCCTGAAAGCTGTGTAAATTCACTTTATATGTAATGTATTTATATGTTTTTAAAGCTTCAACAACATTGGATTTTAGAGTGTGTTTCATAAAGCTGTCTTACTCATCTTCATCGATATAGTGAAACATTGAAGGCATGACTGACTTTCTAGCAGCAAAGAGAACAAAGCATATGGTCTTGATGTAATGAGAAAGATGTTTTCCATTCATTGCAGACTTCTTTGGCTCCATTACCCTGCTATGTTTATCTTATTGAGCATCCTTCCCTCAAATACGCAACCACTCGTTCTGTAGCCAAGTATCCTGTTGGTAAGTCATATCTCTCATTGTCACAACTAAACAAAATATGCCCTTGATGAAACTCTGAGAAAATTATTATTTAAGAATATGTATAGCTACCTTGCTTATCACTGTGGCTTATAATTGTCAAGTAACAAGCAAACTAACTCCAGACAGACTCCAGCTATACAAAATTTCCTCAATTTCAGTGACCAGCTTTCTGCATTGCATGAGAGAAACAATGAGCTGAGGGAACTTGAATCTTTTATAATTTGCAATGAACATACCTGCCTTTTGCTCCAAGGAAGACGTCGTCCCTGTCTTTCAATACTGTTCATTATGCAAACATTCTTGAAAATAAATTTGGAACCAAGACAGTCAGTGGCTTGCTGGCAAGATGTGGAGGAACACATAAGATCCATGGAAAATCTTCTCCCAACATCCCACTTAACCCTTTCTTTGCAGTTGACTGCCCCATAAACTGTTACCCATTCACTTGTTTGCCCTGCAAGTTACTGGGCTGTGGATTCATCTCTACTTCCTGGAACTTCCAACATGCAAGCATGCACTCTCTTATACCCACTCACACAGATAGTCTCTTTTTTCTATATTCCATTCTTTTTCCTAAGTGACCTCTTAGCATAATTGTTGGCAGACTACACTACAATCATTAAAATTGCTGTCACAAATTAAAATTTTTTTGTTAGATTTCAGATGATTTCACCAAGAGCTATTTAATTTAAAAACAAGTTTTCAAACAATATAAGCAAATTTAAAATTATTTTACCTAATTATTGATACTTTTGGTGCGTAATCAAGGGATCAGTTGGAGCAAGCTAAATATCCAAGTCTCGGTAATTATTTGAAACAAATCAAATGCTTAACAATAAGGTATAGAGATCCTGTTTCTCTGTAAACCCAAATAAAGCATATGATTTCCAAACTTTGAAAGAGCAGTCTTGGTCTATGATGTTTGTGGGCAATGCTGCTCCTAACTTAATCTACTGATATGCTAGGCAGCTTTTTATTTTGCAGTATATATTTGTCTGCCCCTTTTACTATATTATGATTTTAAATTTTTTTACCATATTGAATGAAATTGAAAGAAAAAAAGACCCCAAGATCTTGCAACTCTAACACAACTCTGATTTTTCGTGTTCTCTCCCAGTCTTCATTCTCTATGTATATGACTTGTACCTGGAAATGTTATGCTTTATTTTTTGCCCAAGAGTATGTCTCAAATATTGTTCACAATGCTAAATGCCCTAACTTTTTACCGATTTCTAATGATGGGATTCAAGATTTTTATATATTTAAATGCTTAATTTTACAGTATATTCTAATACTTGTATAAATGTGGCTATCTCCCATTCTGTACCTAGGTATAGAGGTTGGTCCCCAGCCTCAAGGGGTTCTGAGAGCTGATATTTTGGATCAGATGAGAAAAATGATTAAATATGCTCTTGATTTTATACATAATTTCAATGAAGGTAAGTAGTAGGCGGGAGTTTCCTTAATTGTCAGTGTGTGTGTGTGTGTGTGTGTGTGTGTGAGAGAGAGAGAGAGAGAGAGAATACATCAGAAAAGGAAGATGAGCACACGTGATTACTTAACCACTTAACACTGAAATAGCAATTGAAACCTAGGCCAAATTTGCCATGCTCAGGATATTGGGTGCTTTTTAAAAATGTCATTCACCTCATTCATTCCTCAATGACCAGAATAGACACATTCAAATAAAGTCACTACCATTTAAAAACAAAAACATACTAAGAAATACAAATATCCAACAAACATACAAAAAGGTCTCCAATATCACTAGCAATTAGAGAAATGCAAATTAAAATGAGAAACCATTTTCTTCCATTAGAGTAGGATGGTATTAAAATCTGCTAATATTGTGTTGGTAAGGGTGTAGGAGAAAGCGACAGTTAAAGACATGCTAAAGAATAATTTTACAGTGTCCACTTTTGAAAATCCACAAATCCTATAACCCAGCAATGCCACATCTCCAAGAAACACAAACACATGCACACCCAGTGTGTCATATACAAGCTTGGTTACCACAGCATTGTTTGTGACCCCAAAACAATAGAAACAACCTGAATATCCATCAGTTGGTAAACAGTTAAACTAACATGGTAAAAGCTTTGAAGTTAATTAAAGGAAGCAGGTTGCAGACCAGTGTATGCAGTATACCAATTTCCTTAAAATAGTAATAATAATAATAATAATAAACACTTGCTAGAATACATATACATATTTATATATGTTAATTACAGGAAAAGTCCTAGAAGAAAACACACCAAACTGATAACAATGATTATTGGGGTGGCAGAGGGGAGGACAGGTTAAATTTAATTGTTTTAAAGAAAAATGATATATTTGTGTATTGTATATAATTAAGAAATAATTGGTAGATATATGAAATTCTATGTACTATCTGCTCATTTATTCAGTAAGTCTAAAACTGCAGCAAAAAAAATAAAGTCTACTAATTATATTTTAAATGTTTAAATTTTTTAATTAGACTAAAAACAACATTAAAAGGACATCCTATGCAAAAATTATTTTAACAGGCTAAATTCAAATTGTTGAAGAATCGCAGTGACAAAGCTGATGAATATCCAGTGTCTGTATACTTCCCTAGTTCAGTGTTCAGTATAATTCCTAGGCCTCAGACTGTGCACCTTACTGCAGTCACAGGAATTTTTTTCTGTGCTTGGAACTCCTTTGACTCCAAAGTAATAAAAACTGAAAATCAGCTTGTCACCACCTTTGTCTGAGGACAGGTTCTATACTGTCTAAGGGTATTTGGAAGGTCACCATTTATTCACAAGAAACCTTTCAAATAGTAAGTGTGGGACTACAGTATGTTAAGAAATCTGCCCTGGCTGGTTTGGTTCAGTGGTTAGAGCGTCCGCCCTTGGACCAATGAGTCTCAGGTTTAATTCCAGTCAAGGGCACGTACCTTGCTTGCAGTTCATACCCAGCTCTGGTCATGCAGGAGGCAACCAGTCAATGTGTCTCTCTCACATCAACATTTCTCTTTCTCTCTCTCTCTCTCTCTCTTTCTCTCTCTCTCTCTCTCTCTCTATCCTCCCTCCTTCCCTCCCTCCCTCTCCTCCTCCCCCCTTTTTCCCTCCCTCCCACTGTATCTGATGATAAATAGAAAAATATCCTCCAGTAAGGATTAAAAAAGAAGAAGAAGAAATGATGCACCTGAGTAGAAAGCCACAAACCTGAGTGGAAAACATGATTTTCAAATCATACTCCATAGATTCCTCCCATAGGGGTGGGGATCTAGTAGTTGTTTTAGTAGCTCCAGGACAGCCAACCCCCCACCAGCCTTTTAACCAGAGAAGTTCTTCTGTCTGATTTTTGCTCTTCCATGTGTAACATTTCTTTTTGGCAAAGAATTATGTAATTCTAAAATATTAACCACTATTAATTTAGATCATCCTGCTTGGTGGATTTTCACCTAACATGGAAAGAGAACCGTTATCCAAAGAATGCTGATCATTACCACCTAGAGAAAAGTCTCTAGAAATATGTAGAAGAGCCCCATCCTTGGGTCTGTGCTACTCAAAGTTATTATTAGTGACTTGGATGAGGACATAAGTGACGTGCTCTCATATAAGCAGTAGATGGCAGGAAGCCTTCAGGAAAATATATTCGGTTCAGAAGGTAGATCCAAAAAGTCCTGACAATCTTTAACAATTGTCTAGACCAATTTTAGGTTAAATACATCAAGAACAAAGTTTTGCTTTTATACAATTTTTTAAAACCCAGAATGAGAGAGGTGATGGTCTCTTTTCTGCCTTGGGTGAACAACACTTGGAGAACTGTGAATAAATTCTGAGTCCATATTTCAGGAGAAGCATCTATGAAGTAGAGGTGAGCCAAGGAGAGAGTTGAGAATCTTGAAGAGTTTGAAACCCGTGATAAGAGTGATCCCTCAGATGCACATGGAACTTCAGTTTGCAAAGCACCTTCATGGCCTCATGGATGTGCCACATATGCATGTGAATGACAGCACTGAGAACACTTAGACCGGCCAAAGAAGGCTTAAGGGAGATTTTATTTTAGAGTTTCAGAAGTGTTCTATTGGAAAGCATTTAGACACGTTTTCTGTGACTCAGAGGGCACAATAGAATCGGTGGCATCAAGTTAACTAGAGACAGAGATTTTCAATGAACAAAGCTTACCAACAGTGGAATAGACCACATTTTATGAGGCTGTTCAAGCAGGAAGAAAGATTGCCACTTGGCCAGAAAGATATGGAGACTCACCGACCATCAATGAACTTAAGTATTTGAAGCTCCTTCCAACTCTGAGATTCTAAGTAGCAAAAACATACTCCTTGTGTCCTACCACTTTTTCCTGTCCTCCCAATGGACCTCCTGGTTTAACAAGATGACATCTGATAAGGTTCTTCAACTTGGCAGGTATGATAGATTGTAAAAATGGCCACAAATTCTTTCTTTTCCTGCATCCATGTTCTTGCAATGTGTTCTAAATCCTTCTACCAAAAGATGGAGTCCATTTCTGCATCCCCTGAATTTGGTGTGGCCACATGACTTGTTTTGTGCCACCAAAGATGCTTGAAAAGGACTTGCACCCTAGGGCTTGCTCTCTTGCTGCCCTTGGAAAACCTATATCACCACTGCGTGAATCAGTCTACACCATCCTTCTGGATAATGGGAAGCTACGAGGTGGAGGACTCTGACACCCTAGCCAATAGTCCTGCAGCTCCAGCTGACAGCCTGTCAAGTACCAGACATAAGGATAAGGCCATCCTCGGTCATCTAGCCTCCAGCTGACCTGCCAGCTCACCACAAATGCATGAACAAGCCAATTACAAACCAGCCTAGCCAGCCTAAACCAGAGGGACTGTCCAACCAACCCACAGAATCATGAGATAAATTAAAGGGTCATGGTTCCATGCCACTAAGCTCTAGGGGAGTGTATTATGCAGCCAAAGCTAACTGATACAGGAGTGACCACAGGATATCTACCTTCCAACCCTGGCTGTTCTTCCCGCTCTATGGGCAAAGAAAGGAAGATTTTCCTTTGAGTTGCAACCATTGCACACTATGGGCCCTACATTCAATGAAAGTCCTTCCTTTTTGCTCAAAGATTGCCTGGTGCACATGCAAACTACTCCTTTTTTAAGTTTCTGTGCATCTTTGGAAGTTAGACTCCACAGCCGGCAGACTGCCTGCATCCTGAGATCTGTCCAAGAATTTAGTATACTTAGTTAAGAGAAAGCACACCATGCTGAAGTCACCAAACTTGCCAGAAGTCTCCTGAGGATATGCAGTCCTAGAGTGTCAGAGCTGGACAGGAGCTCCCAGATAAGCTGACTCAAACCTTCGTTTGACTGGTCAAGAACGTGAGCCTTGCCCTGGCTGGTTTGGCTCAGCGGTTAGAGCATCGGCCCCGCGGACCGGAGAGTCCTGGGTTCAGTTTCCGCTAAGGGCACGTACCTCGGTTACAGTTTGTCCCCAGCCCCGGTTGGGGTCGTGTGGGTGGCAACCATTCGATGTGTCTCTCTCACATAGATGTTTCTCTCTCTCTCTTCCTCCCTCTCTCCCTCCTGCTCTATCCGAAGATAAATGCAAAAATGTCCTCAGGTGAGGATAAAAGAAAAAGAAAAAGAAAAAGAAAGTAAGCCTCCAGGAGTGAAGCCTCCCACACAGCTAGAAGATTAGAGCCCTGGTTGTCCTGACTCCCAGTCCTGGGCTCTTTTTCTCTCACATGGGCTTTTAAAGCTCTGTCTTCTTCCACTGTCCATCAGTGTACTTGTGAACAGTGTGTTGATGGGAATAATTAGAGAACATCTTTTGGCTTCGTGTTGTTGATGAACATCCTTAACTAAAATAGTGTGTTCTCCCTGTGACTGTGTTTTTATTTCAGTTACAGTTGACATTGCTTTTGGTTGTTGTTCTTCCCTTCAAGTATGAACTTCCTGTTTTCCAGTTGCTTTTTATACATATTGTTTTTGCCATAGGAAAAGAATTTCCTCCTTGTGCTCTTGAAGTCTATAAAATAATGGAGAAAGTGGATTATCCAAGGGATGAAAATGGAGAAATTGCTGCTATTATCCACCCAAATCTGCAGGTAACATTTGCTGTTTCTTTAAAATATTCAAAATAATGAGTACCCCCCCTCCCCACTTTAAATAGAGTTTTATAGTTCATGAAGCACCTTATGTATATTGGCTCATTTGTCATATTCTCAAACATACTGTAGTGTAGGCCAGGTGTGCAGACCTTCACTCAATAAATATTTACTGAATGTATCCTGTGCCGGCTCTGGCTCTAGGAGACATCACTGAACATGGTCTATATTTTATTTTTTTAATCCTTGCCTGCGGATATTTTTCCATTGATTTTAAGATCAATGGGAATGAGAGAGAGAGAGAGAGAGAGAGAGAGAGAGAGAGAGAGAGAAACATTGATGTGAGAGAGATGCATTGACTGGTTGCCTCCTGCATGACCCCAACAACTAGGGCCAGGGATTGAACCTCAATCAAGGTACATGCCCTTGACCTGAATCAAACCCGAGACTCTTTGGTTCTTGGACCGATGCTGTAATCACTGAGCCAAACCGGCCAGGGCTATGGTCTATATTCTTGTAGAAGTCATGGACTAGATATACTGAAGTCTGAAGTATAGTTTCACAACGAAGATAACCAGATACTATAAGAGAATAATGAGGCAGGGAGCGTGGTCAGACAAGGGCTACAGAGAAGGTACAATTCCTGCCCCAGGGCAATGGGTAGGAATCATTATATTTATTTTGACATAAGAAAACAGAAGCTCAGAAGTTGAATCTTTCTCCTGGCCATCCAGAGCTAACATTCCCGGCAGTTCACCACATTGCTGCCACCTCCCTGTGGTCACCACTGAGCAAGTTAGAACAAAATAACCAGACCCTCTTTCTTTGGGATGCGTTCTGCCACCATTTCCTGACCCCGCTCAGGTCCCCGGGATCTGCTGCTTGTCTGGTTTGCACAGTAACGGCACAGTGAAAGAGGGAGACGGGCCCGTGGGAGAGTGCAGGGAGTCTGAATCTGGAAGGGCAGTGGTAAAAGCAGGAGGAGCAAATTCCAAAAAGTTAAAGCATCTGCTCCCACTGAGATTACCCTCCACACCCTCAGACCTCAAAGATAGAATTACCTCATCTGGGGCTTTAGCCCTGCCAGACGATGCCTGGAGAGCCTTTTGAAAAATAGCAGTGCCGGGACCCCACTGTGAGATCATCTGATTTTTGGCCTGAGTAATCAGTGTGGAAAATCACTGATCCAGTTCCAACTCCAAGTAAAGACCCTAATAGTAGTCATCCAAACTTAGAACTTAATAAAGTCGCCTGCCCCCAAATACAGACTAGTGAAGCAGCTCCTACTGTGTGCCTTAGCAGATCCAGGTGGAAACCTGAAGGAGGAGCTTCAGGCAACGTTTGAAAAGAAAGGTACTGATTGGGGGAGGGGGAGGAGGAAAGCACCACAGGTAACAGCAACAGCAAGAACAATAAATGGAGGCGAAGGTGATGATGTCATAACTGGCTGCAGTGCAGGAATTTTTAAGTTTTCTGTTCCTTAGGATCCTTGGGAGGCACAAAAATCATCTTGGGGAGGCAGAGAAGTGAGATCAGTAACAAATAAGGTTAGTGATAGGTCTTGAAAGTCCGAAAAGATCGTGTTGATTTGATAGACAATAAGGAATGGCCCAGTATTTTCCAGGAGGGATTGACTGGTTAATTATATTTGAAATATTTCAGGCCCAGCCTGCTCTGGGCCCCGAGATTCAATCTAGAAAAGGTCCCTCATGGAGCTTCCATACTAATAGAGGGAGAACAGACCATAAATAAGTAAATAATACATAAACTAGATCATTTCAAATTGTAATAAGTGCTATAAAAAATTAAACAAAATAATAGAGTGAAGGTTAACAGAGGATTCCTATTCAGTGAAGTCACCGGAAAAAGCCTTCTCTGAGACAAAAGCATTGGGATTGGAACCTGTGAGATGAGAGGTCAGCCGTGTGGAGAACATGTGCAAAGGCCCTGAGGCTGGAAGGAACTTGAAGTGTTTGAGGAACAGAAAGAAGACCAGTGTCAATAGAGAAAATGGATGAATAGAAAGAACAGTAGACCCAGAGCCAGAGACACAGGCAGAGACCTGATTACAAATTCAGATTTTGTTCTGAAAATTATGGTTCTCAGTGGTTAGAGCATCTGCGCATGGATTGAAGGGTCATGGGTTCTAATTCTGATCAAGGGCATGTACCTGGGTTGCAGGTTTGATTCCTAACCCCAGTCAGAATCCTGTGGGAGGCAAACAATCAATGTGTCTCTCTCACATCAAATGTTTCTCTCTCTCTCCCTCCCTCCCTCCCTTCCACACTCTGAAAAATCAATGGAAAAATATCCTCTGGTGAGGGTTAAAAAAATAATAACGGTTCTTAATCAGGGATCTTCACTGGAGTTATCTAGGGAATGTCCCCTCAAACATCAGGCGCCTATCAGAAAAGCACTAAAACAGTGCTCCCAAACTCAGTCCACAGGAGAATCACCTGAGGAGCTTTTAAAATCCTGATTCCCAGGTCCCCAGAGATTCTGATTTAATCCATCAAGGTGGAGACAGGAAATCAATAATTCCCCAGCCAGTTTTCCCATGGCTCAGGTTTGGGTAGCACTGTGCCACATTGGAATCTCTGCAGGTGGGGCTAGCCGTGGGTATGTACAGAAGCCCTTCAGTTATTCTGGGATAGGTCTCTAACGGGAAGCCTCTGGTCCAGAGCAGCGGTTCTCAGCCACACTGTCCTGTAGAGTCACCTGGGGCTTTATAACACATAAAGAAAAACAGTGAACTATAAATGAGTATCATGGGGGGAATTGCAGGAAGTTTGTATTCCTGCAATTATGTGTCTTCATTACACGGTTGTATGGTATATGACTCTATGCTGTGTAGTTGTTAAAACTCATAGAACTGTTTCCGGCAAGATGATGAGACCTTGGTTTTGTCTTCTTGAAGGAAAGATTTCAATCAAGAGACAAAGTGCAGCAAAGCCAGCAAGCATTTATTGGCCACAGCAAAAACACACTCAGGACAGTGAAACGAGGAAGGGATAGAAGAAGCAGCAGGAGAGCCTAGGTGGGGCTGCTTGGCTCACTGGAATTTAGAGAAAAAGGGGTTGTGGTCTCTACTGATTGGTCAGAGCCAGAGCAGGGGGTCATTAGTCATTGCATCTGGTCCTGAAGTGGCCACAGCGTTACTTGTCTGATTTTGCTGCTTTTCTGGGCCTGGAGCTAAAATACAAGTGAGGCCTAGATTTATCCTGAGGGAGGAAAGGTTGCCCAGGGGGCAAGGTTCTTGTTTTCCCAGTTTTGCCCCTTGCTAGGCATCCAGGGCTTTCTGCCTTGGCGAGTTTCTTTACTGGGCCCATCATCCTTGCTCTGCTCATGTTTGTCTAACTGCCTATAACAGAACTGTACACAAAAGTGAATGAATTTTTCTGTATGTAAATTTTTAAAAAAATTTTAATATGTTTTTATTTATTTTTTAGAGAGACAAGAAGGAAGAGAGGGATAGAAACATGGATGTGAGAGAGAAACATCAATCGGCTGCCTCCTGCATGCCCTTACTGGGGATTGAGTCCACAACCTAGACATGTGTCCTGACAGGAAATCGAACCGGAATCTCTCAGTCCTGGGACTGAGCTCAATCCACTGAGCCACACCGGCCGGGCTGTATGCAATTTTTTTTAAATGATGCCTGAGCCCCATTGTTGAGACTCAGATTTGACGTATCTGAGATGGGGCCAGCCCCTCTACTCCTCTATATTTTTTAAATATCCTGGGTAATGACAGCATGCAGCCAGGGTTGAGAAAATTACTCTAAGGCAGCACTTGTCAAACTGTAGTTTGTGCCTGTGATTCTTCAGGGGATTTGTTAACAGGAAGATGTGGACGTAGTAGGTCTGAGCGGGGAATGAAAATCAATTCTGCTTTTCTAACAGACAGTGTTGCTACTGCTGCTGGGAAATGTTAGAAATGCAGATTCTTGGGCCCCTACCCCAGACCCGTAGGATCAGTCTGTATTTTAACAAAATCCCTGCATGAGTCTCAATCACATCAAAGTCTGAGAAGATCTGCTCTCAGCTTCCTGTGGTATGACTGCATTGGTATGAACTTTGAGGGCTCAAAGTTCCAAATTGCTGGTATGGGACCTTTTAGACAACTCATTTGTTAACTACTGTAGGGACATGTATGAAAAACATTCACCTTGTCCTACAGTTCCCATCCCGCCCCACCTTCTCTCACCAGCCCCCATCAGAATAGATCTCCTTGTATGCAGGCACAGCATTGCTCATTTTTATATCCCCAACAGTATAACGTCTTGCACACAGAAGGCTCTTAATGGATAGTTCCTGAATTTTGCTGAACTGAATTTAACTTCAGCCAGCAAGATGTAGACATACACTGAGGGAGACATGCACTGAGTTTTGCCTGTTAATATTACAAATCTTTTTGGCAACATTCAAGGCAAACTGATATGGAAGCAAACTCTAATTGCATGTATCAGTTATAAACATTGAAATGGAAACTCTTAAAACTGCTACCAAATTACTACTCTATCTATGTTTAGTAGATCACTCATTATGCCTCTCAGTGTCTCTCTTAAGTATCTCTTTTGAAAGAGTCCAGCGCTATAATGCTTTAAGTTGTCTGCTGCCTCACATAAAATGTTTAAAGTAGGAGGGAAACGGAATGTAATTTATGTATTTTAATTGTTTCCTGAGAGGATCAAGACTGGAAACCATTGTGCCCTGGGGATCCTGTGTTTTTAACTCTTGATGGAAAGACTATTCCACTGGGTGGAGACTGTACCGTGCACCCAGTGTTTGTAAACGAGGCTGCGTACTATGAAAAGAAAGAAGCTTTTGCCAAGACGACTATACTAACACTCAATGCAAAAAGTGTTCGCTCCTCTTTACATTAGAAATCACTTCTAGTTCACTTGCTATACAGTATCTTGAAAAACTCTACTAGTCTGTAAGCCCCCCAGGGGTAAGACTGTGCTTGATTTAATGTGCCTTCTTCACATCCATAGTAATACTTCAGTGCCTTGCACACAGTGGGCAATTAGGCAAGCTCTTGAATGAATTAATAAATAAATTAATGCATATATTTTAAAGGTATTATATTGTGTGCATAGCTTTTTAAAGAAGTATATTTCTTATTTCTGTATAGCTTTTTATACATTATACTTCGATAGCTTAACATTCTTAAACAGTTTTTAAATTGAAATAGATGCTATATACAAAAAGTTATTAACTTGAACATAGAATTAAATGTATGTTTTCAAGTAATGTATACTTATATTGCTACTAGAAACCAATGATGCAGACTTACTATTTTTAAATTTTTCACATTTGAATGAATGATAATGTATTCAGTATCCAGCCTATGAACTTTTAGCAAGAGCTGTTATATCCATAAGAGATTTTTAAATGCTCCTTTTTTTAGTTTCCAGCTTCTTTATTATTTTTTTTAATCTTTATTGTTGAATGTAGAATATATTACAGATGTTCCTTATTTTTCTCCCATTGACCCCGCCTTTTCCCACACTATTGTCTGTATCCATTGGTTATGCATATAAGTTCTTTGGTTTATTTCTTCCCACCGCCCCAACCCCACTTCCCTTTGAGGTTTGTCAGTGTAGCAATGAATTTGTACTTCTTAATCCCTTCACCTTTTTCACCCATTCCCCCAACCCTCCTCCCATCTGGCAACCTACAAAATGTTCTCTGTATCTATGAGAATGTTTCTGTTCTACCTATTCATTTTGTTTGTAGATTCCATCGTTGATAGATATGTATTCATTGCCATTTTGTTTGTTAATATATTTTACCTTTTTCTTCAAAAAGACCCTTCATCATTTCATATAATAACGGTGTGGTGGTGACGAACTCCTTTAACTTTTTCTTGTCTGGGAAACTCTTTATATGGCCATCGATTCTAAATGACAGCTTTGCAGGATAGAGTAATCTTGGTTGTAGGTTCTTGCTTTTTGTCATTCTGAATATTTCTTGCCACTCCCTTCTGGCCTGCAAAGTTTCTTTTGAGAAATCATCTGACAGCCTTATGGGAACTCCCTTGTAGGTAACTACCTGCCTTTCACTTGCTGCTTTTAAGATTCTCTTTGTCTTGAACGTTTTGCATTTTGATGATGATGTGCTTGGTGTGGGCCTCTTGGGGTTCATCTTGTTTGGGACTCTCTGTGCTTCCTGGACTTGTATGTCTGTTTCCTTCACCAAGGTAGGAAAGTTTTCTGCCATTAGTGTTTCAAACAGGTTTTCGATTTCTTGTTCTCTCTCTTCTCCTTCTGGCACCCCCAAGATGTGAATGTTAGCACGCTTGAAGTTGTCCCAGAGGCTCCTTACACTATCCTCATTTTTTTTGGATTCTTTTTTCTTTTTGCTGTTCTGATTGGGCGTTTTTTGCTTCCTTGTATTCCAAATCGATGGTTTGCTTCTTGGATTTACATACTCTACTATTGAATCTGTGTAAATTATTCTTTATTTCAGTTAATGCCTCCTTCAATTCTGACTGTGCATCCATCATTTCTGACTGGTCCTTTTTTATGCTCTTGAGGCCCTCACTAAGTTCACTGAGGTTCTCTCTGAGTTCATTGAGCATCCTTATAAGCAGTATTTTGAACTCAGCATCTGTTAGGTTGCTTATCTCCATTTCGCTTAGTTTTTTTCTTGGGGTTTTCTTCTGTTCTTTCACTTGGGACCTGTTTCTTTGTCTCCTCATTTTGGCTGCCTCCCTGTGTTTGTTTCTATGTATTACTTAACGAGCAGTATGGGGCTAGCTGAGACCAGATGCTGCTCGTTTGAAAGAATTTAGGAAAAACCTGAAGCAGGATCCAAGACAGGCCAATCCTATGATTAAGCAAGTGGCAACAGCTTGGGTGGGCCTGAAAGTTGGGTGGGGTGGGGCGGGGCGGGGCCTCAAGGAATCACCAGGGCAGGGCTACCAGTGTGAGCCAGGTTGCTGAAGTCGCAGATATGGCGACTGTCTGCCACCCCAGGGAAGGGCTCACCAAAGGAACAAAGGCCTCTTACAGCACGTTTGTCCCCGAGAAAGCCCCCTCTCCAGCCCTCGCTCCAGTGCCAAACAGCTCAGTTCTTCCCTGTATGTCTCTGGTGCCCCTCGAGCTGCCTCCCCTCCAAGCTTAGAGGGAGAGAGTCCGATAAGTCCCGCGCGGGCCCTTTAAGGAGCTGCCTGGGGCTCCAGCTGCATCAGCTTCCCTGAGCCTTAGTTCCTGCTGGTTTTTCCAGCCAGAAGTTATGGGGACTTCTCTTCCTGGCACTGGAACCCTGAGCGGGGCACCTGGTGTGGGATGGGGACCCCTCAGACCTTAGGAAGGACCTTCCCAGCCGAGGTGTCCTCCTGATTTTTATCCGCCACATGTGAGTGTGGGACCAGCATGTCTCGCCACTGCCCCTCACGTGCCTCCACCCCTCCTACCAGTCTGGATGTGGCTGCTGTTTTAATTCCGTAGTTGTAGGACTTCCATCAGCTTGATTCCATGCGGTTTTGAATGATGGTTGTTCTGTAGTTTAGTTTGATGTGGTTGTGGGAGGACGCGATACCCCGTTTACCTACACCGCCATCTTGACCGGAAGTCCCTAGCTTCTTTATTTATTTAATTTTTGTTATTGTTGAAAGTATTACAGATGTCCTCCCTTTTTTCCCCATTGTTCCCCTCCTGCCTTCTACCAACCCCCTTCTTTCCCCAAACTAATGTCTGTATGCATTGGTTGTGCATATATGCATGTAAGTTCTTTGGTTTATCTCTTCCCACCCCTACCACCCCCATCCTTCTGAGATTTGTCAGTCTGTTCCCTACTTCCATGTCTCTGGATCTATTTTGATCGACAGCTTATTTTGTTCATGATATTCCATAAATGAGATCATGTGGTACTTGTCTTTCTCTGACTGGCTTGTTTCGCTCAGCATAATACTGCCCAAGTTCCTTCATGTCATCTCAAAGGGTGCGAGATCTTTCTTTCTTACAGCTGCATAGTGTTCCATTGTGTAAATGTACCAGAGTTTTTTACCCACTCATCTACTGATGGACACTTGGGTTGTTTCCCGATCTTAGCAATTGTAAATAGTGCTATTATAAATATAGAGGTGCATATATTCTTTCTGATTGGTCTTTCAGACTTCTTAGGATATATTCCTAGAAGTGGGATCACTGGGTCAAATGGCAGTTCCATTTTTAATTTTTTTTTTTTTTTGAGGAAATACCATATTGCTTTCCATAGTGGCTGCACCAGTCTGCATTCCTACCAGCAGTGGGAATGAACAAGAAACGAGGGCTGATTGTGAAGGTAATATTATGAATAAATAAAAAAAACCCTGAATGGCCCTTTGTCCACAGAGAGTAGCCCACACAAAGCATCGCTGCCCTGGCACGTCCACGGGCTCTGTGCTGCCCCCGGGGAGCTGGAGCCATTCAGATGTCTCGCTCGCCCCCTGAGAAGCTGAGGTTCCTTCCCAATCTGGGGAGTCCGAAGAGGCATAGTCCTCACAGCTCTCACTTCTCCTTCTGAAAGAACACGCTTGCCCTCATTTGCAACCAACGTTCGCGGACGTGTTTGGGTTCCCACAGCACAGGCAGTAAGGACGGAAAGAGCAGAGGGCAGTGGACACTGGTGGAAATGTGCCCAGACCCATGCCTCTGGTTCATAAATGCGTTCCTTCAAGAAATTGTCCGTGTCCTAAATGCCCACATCCCTCACCCCCCATGATTCCTCTCTTCAAAGGTCCTGGGGCTGAAATGCTGCCTCCCTCCCTCTCCAGTCCCTACAGGAGCTCCCCGCTCTCCTCCCTTAGCCACAGCAGCCAAGTAAAGAGCATTTTTACCCCATGGTTTGGACCCCGAGGAACCCAGGTTTATGGTTTCAAATGAATTTAGCAAAATCATAGTAACATTATGTGGAATATATATGTAAACATTTTCATTCATCCAGAGCAGGTTCTATTACGCCAGTTTCATTCCACATGTAATGTTCTGTAGAACACAAACTGTAATTTTTCCAGCGTTTATTTTGGCACTTTAACAAAATCATTTTTATTGAAATAACCTCTCTTCCTTCTGAAGTCTTTAGTAAAACTTCAATTTCCCTACCAGTTTTTGTACTGAATATATAACAAGTCTAACCAAACTTCCTTCTCTCGCTGTGAATGTTCCTGGGTGTTTTGTCTGAATCCCATTTTTCTGGGTCAGTTGTTTCCAGGTGTAAATTTTAGCAAGAATATCTTATTCTTCCATCAAATTATAGTTACTTATAAGATTTACAAGGTTCGATGTACGCCACTGCAATTTCAGTTTTTGTATTAATTACTTCTATCAAGTCTCGTTTTCTCTGACTCAGTGTTTATAGTCTTCAGAGTTTCTAATTAGGTGTGATTGTTTTTGTTTTGTTTTTTGGGTGCATGCCCCTAGTGGGAACCCAACCCGGGACTCTCTGGTCCACAGGCCAATGCTCCTGAGCCAAACCGGCCAGGGCATTAGATGTGATTTTTTTAAAAATCTATAACATATTGCCATATGGTTTTAGCCACTTTTAGTTTTATTGTATTTTGATTATGTCTAAGTTTACAGACTCAGTTTTCCCACTTATAAAACGGGGATGATCCTAATATCAATGCCCCTCTCATGGGATCATCGTGAAGAATAAGTGAGCTAATGCATATAAGCACTTAGCACAGTGCCTGGCACGGAATAATGAATTATTCAAACTCAAATATCTAACACAAAAGGCCCTTTATGACCTGCCCTTTCTTCCCCCATGATCTCCCTAGACTCATCTCCCTTCAGGTCCTCTCTGTTCCAGTCTGCTTTGTGTCATTTATTTCTATATTCCTTCACACAGACTGGTCTTTCCACTTCGAATTTTCTTCCTCCTTTCTCCATCCCTCCCCCACTCAGACCTCACTGCAGCTAATTGTTGTTTTTCCTTTAAAATGCAACTCAACTCTCATTTCATCCGTAAAGCCTTCTTTTTTTTTTGTTAATCCGCATCCAAGGATAT